ACGGTGCTGATCGTGCTCATGGTCGTGCTCGGCCTCGCTCTCGGCGTGCTCGCGTGGAAGCTCGAGCGTCCGTTCTTGGTGTTTGCGTCGAGCGTCGTGGGTGCGATCGCGACGGTGTGGGGCATCGGCTTCTTTGCGGGCGGGTACCCGAACGCGGGCAACCTCCAGGCGACCGTCTCGGCGGGTGGCGACTGGGTCTACGACATTCCGAGCTCGTGGTGGTACTACCTCGCGGCCACGATCGTGCTCTGCGGCCTCGGCATCTTTGTGCAGTTTCGAGAGCTGACGCAGCACAAGCGGCGCGAGGCCCAGCAGGCGACGTATGCGATCCCCGAGACGCCCAAGCAGGGCGACCCGATCCGCCACGTCTAAGACGACATTATCATCTATTGACAACTATTCCATAAATAACTAACGACTATTTTACCACGTATTTGAACATGTTGATGCTGAGTCCAGTACTTGTTGTCCAAGTAAGCGCAAAGTGAAGTTGTGGCATTCAGCGGCATCGTGCACTTCCTCAATCAAGACCGAATGACTGGGGGCAGCAACGGTGTTGGTGCCCGCCATGCCAGTTATTGGCGAGAGGGGTTAGCTTTACGTCTGACTACAAATTCGGAAATGGCTCAGACTCGCTTTTCTCTCTGCGCCTGGATCCAGAAGACCAGATCTACAACCACAGTGCTTGTAGATCTGGTCTTTTGGATCGCTCGGTCTTTGGCGAAAAACTGCTTCCACTTCTTGAAAACGGCTCAAGCCTCGGTTGTTGCAGATCTTGAAAAGACTTGACCTACTGAATACGTCACCACAACAGGTTTCCTTTTCTTCACCCGCTCGCCGGGTCATGGCGATGCAGGTGTCGGTGCGGGAGCTTGTCGTGTTCCTCTGTGGCCCCCTGCGGTTGCTTGCGGCCTCGGGCGAGGTCCACCCACGGCAATCCTTTCGATCGCCCCGTTTTGGGCAAAGTCAACTGCGACGTAGTTTCTCGAGGTCGTCACGAGACATCAGCGACTGCGGTGGTGTCCACCACTGGAGGTTGCACTGCAGAACAATCGGGTACTATGTGAAACCATCATCAAGCGGTGCAGAAGCTTTATTTCTCCGAGGTCACATGGCTATAGACTGCTGTAGAGAGCGTGAGACGCTGCGCTCGGATTCAAGACCACTGTTGTTCATGCGAGACTGCCAGTAGCTGTTGTGTTGAAGATGGTGGAGTTTGTGATCTCCAAATCTTTGCACGCTCGAAGACAGCGCAACACCCGGTCATGTCGTGAAGTCGCTCCAACGTTTTTCATCTTCAAAGTCTACGGGAAGTTTTCCTCTCAGCATAGTGCGTTTGGTAGTCTAGTCAGTCTGCCAGTCGTTTAGTCGACGCCATGGAGGCACAACAGAGTCTCTCGACTAACACCACCTAGCTACTAGATTGACTGACTGTTGTGTGAGCTCGATGTCCAGAACGGTCGCTTACGCTGCGATACCGGTCCGTCCCAATCGCTCGAGTCCATGTCGTTTTCTACCGTTCAGTCTCTGAAGACCCTCTGTGGCGGCAGCTTCGTGCCTCGCCTCCTCATGAGAGCACCCTACTGTTCTTCCCATTCCGATAAAGAAACTGCTACCATTTCGCCTGCCCGAGACAGTGCGGCGTGGTTGTAAGATTTGATGAATGATACGAGTATGCATCTTGGAACGCGGGTGCGTATGTGGTACTGTAAACAGTCTGGCAATGGTGCAACTACCTGAACGCGAGGGGATTCAGGTGCTTGGCCGCGTGCGTTCACGAGCGTGGTCAACTCATCCAAAAGATGCGCTACTTGGGCTACAGTAATAATGCAAGGATGTCGCGCAAGGGAAACAGCAAACCTTGGTAGGATTGGGAGACGGTGCGACCAAACAGGAATTGGAGAAAAACCACCCACCCACTTATGTTTTCAGCGGGGTATTTGGGGCTGTTTAGCAAGGTAGGTCAGATGATATTTGCAGACGTTTTTTGCGCGCTAGAAGGCGTACTAGGTTGAGGGAAGTATGTGAAAATGCCACCTCGCACCACCGCGTGCCACAACCGAGTAAACCCAAGTCCATGTATTTTTATTCAATTTACGCAGATTTGGTAAAAAGAATGCCCACGGCCACCCAGTTTAAAAATGTTCCTGTCGCAAAACGACCACAGGTCGTCCTTCTTCTGGCGAGTCGAATACAGTGTAGTCACTCACACGGCAACGCCAGTCATCAGCTCATCATCCATCAATCACTCTCATCGATCGCAGCACAGATGGTGCTGCGATAGAAAGGCAACGATGTCCCAACCTTGTCCATCAATGATGATGATTGTATCTTTCACGGCACACGCGATCGTCAACCGAGCTTACAAATCCACGAAGGGGTTCTTACGCGCCATTTCGCATCCTCTGGTCATTCCGTGAAGGTCCTACCGCCGCCTCCGCTACCCAGCGCATAGACAGACGACAACGCGTCCTTGACTCGATGGGCCACGCACATGTCGCGACCATTACTCTGCCTGGAAACGACACCGCATCAACGATCCACTGCAAATTACATTGCGAGTTCGTTATCACATCCAGCGCGTTCGCGTTTAGGGTTTGTAAACCAATGACCGGCACGTAGGAGGAGGAATAAAACAGCGGCACGCACGGCGCAATCGCCCATCATGTTGTGACTCCATGTGATGTCCTCATCCAGGTAAGGCGGGCGTTGCAATCCTCTTCCAATGGGCGCTTCTGCAAATGCAACGTCTTTGCGTCGAATGCACCGCCGCACAAGAAAACGAAACTCGAGCCACCACCACTCAAGTGGTAGTGATTTGCACCGCATTATTCGAGTTCCCCGCTGGTCCTCGGCTCGATGGCCATCAGTTTGCCGTTCGAGAAGGACTGACCAGCGCAATCTGATCCGTGTCCGGATCTTCCTCGGATCCTTCGTTCGTGTGTCGCGCCCGCATGGTGACATGTCCCGTGTCGTCGCCGTCGTCGCGTGTATTCGTGGTTGCCACTCATTTCGCAATTTCTTCCATTGCGATGATGTACTTTTGCCCGCCGCCCGCGGCCGTGGTTGCCACTCATTTCGCAATTTCTTCCATTGCGATGATGTACTTTTGCCCGCCGCCCGCGGCCGCGGTCAAGGTCGAGGCCGAGAAGCCGCGCGTCCAAGGCGCGTGGTCGGATCTCGAGCACAAGCGGTTCCTTATCGGGCTCGATCTGCACCCCAAGGGCCCATGGAAAGCAATCGCTTCGTTTGTTGGCACCCGCACGGCGCGCCAAACGCAAACGCACGCGCAAAATACCGCGAGAAGCTCTTCCGCAAGATGCGCCTCGCCGCAACGTCCAACGAGCCGGCCGCGATGGCCCAGCACGGTATCATGGCGCTCGTCAAGCACGAGATTGGATCGCTGGCCATCGAGCCGCTGCCGTTCAGCAACGCATGCAGTACTGCCGACGGCAATGATGCGACACGTATCAAGACGGAAGACAGCATGGACGACGAGTCCTTGCCGTCGCTGGACGAGTGCGTGGCCTTTTTCTACCACACGCTTGCATGACACGCACCACTGCGATGCACAAAACTCTCCAGTGCAATCCTCTAGGTGTGTGGTGGCGTAACAGACAATGTAACTATGTAAAGAATGATACTAGTACCTCTTTCAGTGAGGGCGAGGTGTAGGAGGTGCTATTGTTCAAGTGGGTTCACTGCGTAGTTTGGACGTACTGCGAGTGGCTCATTCGTGTCAGATTCTACTACGACTTTCTTTCCCGTCCACCGTTGTGGGGCCGAGTTGGTTTTGATTGAGATGAGTACAGTGTATTCAAACTGTGGAGTCGCGTTATACCGGTAGTCGCCGTCATTGCCAGTGCATAATGAACACGATGACACGAGCGTGCAACGAGAAGTGAAGCACACAACATACACGGTCCAGGCGCAGAGCTCGAGGTACCGATACCTCCAGGAAGTTGAGGTTTTGCGTTTTAGATAGAAGCAAGGAGTTGGCCGTACCCACGCATTTCCCAATAGCGAATCGCGGTCAATCAATTTATCGTCGAGTGCCCCACTCGACCATCGTACAAGGTGAAAAAGCAATTTCCGAATTTGTAGTTTCAGACAAAGAGCTATTCGCCTTAAGACTTGTAAAAGGCACTTGCAGAGGCGTCAGGCAAGACAAAGCACAAGACAGCGTTGCGGCGCGTAAAAGCGTGCAAGGCAGGTGGAAACCAGGCTACCAAATTTGGATCGACTTGGCTAAAAGCAATATGCCTATCATAGCCTACTGTCGGCTCATCGCGTCTATCTGGGCGGCAAAAATTGTCTTCCTTGCTGCGCCTGTACGTACCACATGCGCCTGCCTCGCCCGCCACTGGCATGCGGACACCAACACGGCTGTTGCCCCAAGTATTAGTTCGGTCTTTGTACCTCAAAGAAGTGTTGAGAACCGAGTTGGTGCTACAGATCCCAACGCCAACGGAAAAGAGAAGAAATGCACAACACGTACGGGGCTCGAGTCCGCACCTCCAGCGTTAAGAAGGAATCATCACCGACGGGACAAAAAGTGAGTGACGAGGCGCCTTGCAAGAAGCTCGATTTCCCGACACCGAGATGTGCGATTCCACAGCCTTTGGCGTTCGAAAGAACGTACCATGCGCGTCTTCGTCTCCCTGGAAAGAGATCCAAGAAAAGAATCGGGCTTGACGTGATCATGGTATTATGGCTTCTGGAAGCGCGCAACACGGCATCTGTTTGGAACCACGGACTGAGGGTACCCAGAGAAGGCTGGACGGATGGTTGAAGTAATGACGCTTTGTCGCCGCCACTTCGCCATGACACGATGGAGGACCAGAGCGGTCCATTGTAAAATCAACAAGTCGATAATCGTGCTGGGAGATTGGATGTGTTGTGAGTACCTTCTGTACACACCGGTCGGTGCGCATGACTGACTGAAAAACTTCTTCGGCGTCAGTCCGCAGCCGCTCGACGGTGATTTGACGGCTTGTTCCTGAGCGACTGCGTTTTATATATCGATTCGTATGCTCGGCTAGCATCACGGAAAGATGCAGTTGGCATGTGGCCAGTGCAACGTGGCCAAGACACGTGCTGGGTGTCGTACCAGAAGGTTTATGGCGCCATAAACATCGAGGAGCTCGTGGCTCCCGCGTCGCATTTATATGTACAACACGATCGACTCGCAAGAAGAACGACCGCCGTTCGAGTTTTTATGCGTGTGTCTTTAATGCTCTCGTTCTTGGCTCGGTCACGAATGGACCGAGTCACGCTTCAACGGTCGTATTCGTACAAGCAGTGTGAGTCGTACGCCCATTCGAATTCAGTCTGTTGACTCGACGCATGGCTGATCGCGGCGCGTTCGTGTGGTGCAAGTAGGATGCCAGTAAACATTTTTGCCAGCCTCCGCTGTACTCGTAAAGTGTATACGGCGGCACGCGGTCCAGTTGCTGGTCATGGTGGTCGCACCCATCAACATGCTGAGGCAAAAGGGGCGTTGCGACATTTGCAGATTCGCCGTGCCAATATAGAGCAATTTAAAGGCCAGTGCACACGCGTCGAATCTTTTGCCTTCTCCCCTCGCCCGGCTCTCTCGCACCAAATGCCAGTGACTCGGTTTTCAGGACATGTCACGACCCTGCTGAGACCTTGTATACCAGCGGCCACATGGACGTTCTATGCAAACATTGAAAAAATTAGAAATCACATCATTTCCACTTTTGGCATTGAAGACGCCAATCGACAGGAAATACCATGATGTACTTCTTCCCGCTCAAGGCTGTACCGGCACGCAAGCCCAGGACCTCCAAGCTAACGACGACGACGGCCACGGGTGCGTGGTCGCCGGCCGAACACAAGCGCTTCCTCGTCGCCTTGGAGAAGTACCCGAGTGGCCCGTGGAAGACGATCGCAGCGCACGTTGGCACGCGCACCCCGCGCCAGGCGCAGACACATGCACAAAAGTACCGCGAGAAGCTCGTGCGCAAGCTGCGGTGCCCGTCCAACGACGGCAACGGCTGCATGATGCGCCTCGTCAAGGACGAGATGGCAAGTCTGCCCGACGACGATCCCATGGAACTGGAGGCGCTCACGCCCCTCAAGCTCGAAGCGAGTGCCGACTTGCGGCCGTTGGCTAGTGGCACGGACGACACGCCGTCGCTGACGTTTGAAGACTGCCTCGACTTTTTTATCCGCGAAATGGACGCATGACACGCTTCGATGACGACAATGTGTCGTCTGGATGTAACCGAGTTGTGTACCATATTTACGATAAGCAAAAACAATACATAATATGTATTGTCGATGGAGTCTCACAACGACGCGTCGTGCTATCGAACGAGATGAGACTGCGTCCGCCACCGAGACAAGAAGTGAGATGCCGAACTCGCTGTTTTCTGGAAGGCCAAACAACGAGTGGGTGGCGCCACCATGCCTCTCTCTTTTCTGTGCAATAATGTGGCTTCACGATCCGCGGGGCGAGCGAGGCGAGGCGCCTAAATGCACCGAGTATCGAACTTGCGCGTGCCTCAAATGGCCATGCTACGCCCTCGAATGCGCCGTGTTCCAGCTCCAAAGCGTCCACCCTGTCCGTAATTGCTCTACGAAGCATGGTATGAAAAGCGACTCATTTACTTGTTGAGGCTTTGTAACAATGCTTTCCATTATGTATGGCAACGGTTCACTAGGATAGCTTGATACAGGAAACATTTTTTGCGGCGACAAAACATTTAGCATGAAATACCGCATCAACCCAGCTTTGCCCATTGTTCAGTGGTTATCACAGCCACTCATTTCCCCTAGTGTGCGATTTGAATAGCGAACAGGGCAATCGTGACGTGAGATTGCCATGCCATCTCGATGGGTGCGCGTTCGTTGGCTGCGCAATGGAGCGGTCAGCCTCTTTTTCGGGGTTTAAAACATCAAATGGACCGCCAGGAAATACTACAACTTTATAAACAACCTATGCGACACCCATGTATACAATATTGTCCTTTAGCACCGCATGAAGCCCCTCGAAAGGCCAGTGACACAGTGCAACAACGCGATCCTCGAAGCTGTTGTCAAACTTCGCTTTCGGCTTACAAACACCAAGTAGTTCCATTTTTATACTCTTTCACTTGACAAATATATCCAATAAAGCAACCTGGTATAAAAAGAATCTCGGCCCCTGCCTTCGAAGTTCGGATCAAAAGATTTTCGGCCACGATGGTGGGCCATCGAGGCGCTCTGCCAGCGCGACCTCATGCGTCCGCGTAGAAATTCCGCTTCTGCGGCGACCAAGAGCCTCCATCCTGGCTGCTCGCCGAGATTCCAGTGGTCGCCCAAGCGGTGCGCGCATGCTGCCACGCTGGTAACGTGACAATCTGCGTGTAGAGCCAAGGCGCTGTGGATCTCTGCGAGCTCACGCGGCTGCTAGCCTTCGCTGTCATGGACAAGGGCTCGTTCGACGACGTATGCACCCTCGCTTTTGTCTCGTCGTGCATCATAAGTCGGTGCTTAGGCCATGGCGCTGCTCATGCCCACCGTGACCAAGTTTGACAGCCAGGTAGCGACACTGCTCTCGTTGCACACGTGCAGCAATGCCATACATATCACAGGCGATCATCGTCGCGCTGAAGTGGATCCTTTTGCATGCGACCAAGTACAACGTAGAGGAGGTTGCGCTCGCCACGGAGCTCCAGCAGCTCGGTACACGACCCGTCGACTCTACGCCATGCATCCCAACATGGGCTAGGCTTTGCCGCCGACTTGGCCAAAGCGTTTGCGTCCGTCTACAACGAACAGCACGGCGCGCTTCGGCGCCACCTCGCGGCCACCAACATGAAGGTCCGCGTCGTCGACTCCCGACTTCATGTTGATGGTGTTGCTTGGTAGCTCGGCCGCGCGTACAGCCGATTGGAAGCCCACGTTGACGTCGTCCTTGGCTCGCGCCACGCCAAGGTGCGTGCGACCTTTCCCCATGCGCATCGTCGTCGCCGTCATCTTGTATGCTCATGGGCGTCTCTGGAACAGAACCTCAAGACGGCGCATGTCATCCTTACCATGCACGCGGCCACGCCCACAACGTTCGCCGTCGACGCAACGACCTTTCGCAGCTTGCACCACGAGCTGCGCCACGCGCGCAAGCTCATGGACGTCGGGTTCAACTGACTCTCCACGCTATCTGCTGCTGTCGTTGGTAATAGCAGCGCGTTTTTGCATGATGGCATTGTGCTATGAAGCGGCTGCATCGCCTGCGCCAAAGGTCTCGCGGACGAGCGCTACCTTGGGGTGGTCCACGCCCGTTCTCGCCGACCTTGATCGCCACTGGTGCATCGTGCAACGGTGACAACATACATGAGAGCCGTGCGAGAAGGCACGTTGGCCGATTGCATCGTCAACAGCTTCCACTCCGCGTGTCTGGAGCTGGCACATCTGCCAAGCACAACCTTGGAACGGCGTCTTCGGCCTTGGCCTCGCAATGGCGCATGCTATACCTAACCCGTCTCGAGATGGCGTGGAGCATGCAACGTGCCAGACTCGACAGCGCAGACTCGACAGCTCCGCCCAAATGACGTGCATGTCTCCATGTTTGGGGCGTCATGCACCTTGCACCTTGGCCGTCGGAAGCAAGCCTTTCCCATCCTGGCACGTCGGCCGACTTTATCGCGATCCGACGCGGCGCATGAGCCCACGACGACGGGATGGATCTTTCCTCTGAATGTCAACGCCCACCACTCCGAACGCCGCCAAGCTACCACCAACTTGCAACCCGGTCCGTAGCGTTTTCCAAGAGACGTCGGTGGTGTCGAGGACAGACACATACAGAGCACACACTCTTCGATTGTGAGGTCGTCGTCTCTACATGGTCTTGGGCTTGCGCTTCATGTGCTTGGTCACGACGTCTTCTTGCTCGACGCTGCCTTGGCGCGTGCCGACGCGGCGCCAGTACAAGAGGCCCGTCACCGACACGCCAAACCACGAGAAAGCCGTCCAAAAGATCACAAAGCCAAGGACGGTCTCAAACACGATGGGCAGCGCGATCGGATAGTTTTGCAGCCCCGTCACGATCGTTCGCAAGTCTAAATCGGTGCCGGCGGCCAGAAAAAACGCTGGCGCCGAGGCCACATGTGCTGTCGCGGCGTCGCATGCCACCAGCGATTTGTCGACCCCAATGAAGTCGAGCCACGCCATCCAGTGAAAGCACCGCCCGGCCTTGCGCTGGAGCAGCATGGCCGCCGAGACGTAGGTGAGGCACGGCGCGAGGTACTGCAGCGCCACCACCGGAATGTACGAGAACGGAACCACGAGTTTGTCGACGAGCGCGGACGTGTCGATGCGGCCGCGCTGGAGGAGCATGCCCGTGATGATGCCTTTGGGCTCGAGCAGAAAGTACTGCAAGTGCGACCGAAAGCAAGCGAGCCGTACCAGCGCCGTGAGGACAACGAGGCTCAAGCGAACGTCCCGAAACATCGACTCTTTCATCCACGCATCGCCGCAGTCGCGCGGTGCCGTGGCAAACACCGTGGTATCGGCCGAGTCGCAGACGACGGCGCCGGACAGCAACGGCGCGTAGAACGGTCGAACAAACGTGGCGGCGACGAGCAGCGGGAGGAGCTGGTTGAGGTGGAGCACGAGCTTCCAGCGCGTGCTGATCGCGCGGCTCGAGATAAAGTCGAGGTACATGCGCGCAAAGCGAAGTGCGGGCAGAAACTGCGTCGACGTAATGACACCCGCGAGAAGCCCGAGGCTGCCGCCAAGGTAGATGGAGACTGACCGCGTCGGCGGCGCCGGTGTCGTGGCGTTGCCAGCGATCGCCGCGAACACACGCTGAACGCGATACTCGAGCGACGAGCTCGCCCCGTCCACGTCAAAGTCAAAGACACCTGCAGGCGTGTAGATGCAAAAGCACGCAACGACGAGTGCGAGGCCGCCGATGCCGAGCCCGAGCCGCGCTTCGTACGATCCAAAGACACCATGGCCAAACTTGACGTGGACGGGAAAGAGCACACTGAGCAACAGCGCAACGACGAGCACGTAGTAGCTGGCGTCGGGCGCCGAGGCGTCGGCACCTTGCTGGATCCAAAAGACCACCATGGCGCTGGCGCCCAGCAGCACCATCGTGTCGAGCAAGTCAAAGTAGAGGCAGTGCGAGAGCGTCCCTGTCTCGATCGCAGTCATGTGCAGCTTCATGGCCTCGAGGCGCTCGGTCGCGGTCTTCTCGGGCTTGGGCGTCTTGGCCTTCTTGGGCGGCGGCGGCGTGTTGAGCGCCTCGAGCACTGCGTTGGACGGCGGCAGAAAGTACGACACGCGGTGCATGAGCAACGTCGTGAGGCTCACAATGTGGCGCAGTCGGAAGAGCACGAAGAGCACGATGACCGCGCCGAGGTACGTGGGCGGCAGCACTGCCATGGTGTCGTAAGCTGTGCTGGGGCTGCAAGTAATGAGGGACTTGTGGTCGAGCTGCGAGCCAACAGAAGGTGGCATATGCCATTTTTAATCAAAACGACCATCACTCTGACATTGCCACTCACTTTGCCATTGGCGCGTGAGGCTTGTCGATCCCAAATCGAAACTTTTGCAACCTTCTCCAATCGCTGTGATAGTTTCAGGGGCGCTTTCTCTATGTCTAGAGAGGCTGCATGCCAACGCGCGTGGCTATCAAAGACACGCAAGTATGTGTTTTGAAACTCGCCAACAATTGCTGTTTTATTCCAACATCATTCATCTCGATATTCAACAACAATGACGCTCGGCGCCTCTTTATTCACAGACTGCAACCTTCGTGATATCACTCGGATGGACAATAGAGCTGCCTCGAACGACTCGAAATGCAAACGACGTTTATAGACCAAGGTGTGTTTAGACCGACGAGGCCAACTGACCGGGCTGACAAGAGCTGCTGGCAAGATGCGAATGTACTGTTGAGAGACGAGCCAGTTGCCGATCGCACCGTTGGCGAGCCACGGTCGTCTGCCCATGCCTTCACTTGAACAATACTTGCGTATCAGAGAATGGCACCCGTGGCTGCTACGATCAACACAGGCGGGCCCGTCAAGAAGAAGACGATGCATATCACATGCAAGCATCGCCCCAGCGCGTCCAGCGACGATGTTGATGCGATTGAATTCGTCGTGACCTTGCAAGGCGCGGCGTCCGAGGGACGTCCACGTCGTCGCCGGGAGCGCGCGGCCATGCAGCGCGACAGCTACGTGAGCGCAATGGACGCCGCGGCGGAGGCGCTTGGGGCGGCGGTCGACTGGACGAACGACGCGCTGACAGCCTTTCTTGTCGAGCACGCGATCGAGGCAGACAAAGAGGCGCTGCCCGACGCGAGCTTGCCGACGTGCCTCTTGTTCTTCAACGCGCACGGCTTGCAGCTCGACACCCCGCGGTACCTTGCGTCGCTGCCGCTGCCCAAGCGATCGAAGCTCCTTGTGCAGGATGTGGCTTCCGTCTGCACGGATGGCGTCTACCATGTCGTGACGCTCGAACACAACTACATGACGCTGCATGGCCCCGTGCACATGCAATGCCTGACGTGCGTGGTGGCCAAGGACGGAGTACAGACGTACTATCGACCTCCCGAGGCGGGCCTACCTGCCGTGTGGCTGCCACTGGACCACGCCCGGTTCCGCAAAGGCACCATCTTGGGCTCGAATCGAGCGGTGCATCGACTGGTGCGTAGCGAACCATAGGCATTCTGCCACTCGTACAGACCGCCGTCACGGTCGTTTCATTGGGCTAGTGCTCACATTACGTTTCTGGGGGAAGATATTGTCATTTGTTATGTTTACAAGAAAATACAGAGGTCAAGCTCCGTTAGACATGACTGGCCGTGCCGTAGGTGGTCGGCATGTCCTGCAATGGCACGAGCACTTTGGGCGACGCGCACTCGGTCGACGCCATGAGATGCATGTTGTCGTGGTCGAGGATCGTGTTGTAGTCGAACGGCGCGCAATACTCGAGCAGCTGGATGTAGCCAAGGATGAAGATAATGAAGAGCACCTCGATCGCAATGAGCGCCGCCGTGTTGAAGGCAAGCATGCGGCGCGTCTCAGGACCCAGCTCGGCCTCGGGCGAGAGGTAAAAGATGGCAATGGCGCCTTCGAGCAGTTGGAAGCCGACGAGCAGCACCCACGCGCCAAGACAGAGGTGCGCGGACTGCGTGTGGTGGTAGTGCGTCGAGTAGAGCCCGCAGACACCGCCGATGGCCGAGATGACGATCCATGCCGTGTAGCAAATGACGAGCGAGACCAGCGCCGTTGAGCTCCACGTCGACGCATCGACCGTGTCGATGAGTTTGTACGAGATGAAGAACGCCTGTAGCAGCATGTTGACCGCGAGGCACGCAAAGAGGAGGCGGGCCGACGCGCGCAGCGAGAGGAGCTGCTCCATCGAGCTGCTGACGAGGTAGTCGGTCACAAGCTGCATCGTACTACGGCGTAGTATGCGGCGAATCGCAGAGTGGCTTGATACAGCGCCTTCGTGGCGCCGCCGTCCTCGCTTGCCCAGATGCTACAGGCTGGCGCAAGGCCATTGGCCGAAATGGATTTCAAACGGGATAGGCCCATTATAGCCAATCAAACGTGATTACCAGCTATATCCGGTGCTGATTGGCTGCTTCTTGGCGCCAAGCTGTCACTGGCTTCTTTCCGATGCAACAAGCGACACCACGCGCTTGGCCGATCACTGTACCGTAGATTACAGCACCATGGGCGTGATGGAGCTAGTAGAGCTACTACGGTACAGCAGTATGCACGGCTACGCCTCCTACAGTGTATACCAAGGTGCGCATTGTGTGGTGGAAAACGCAGCAGCAACTCAGAAGATCGACCCATTGGGATCGGAGGGCGGTTGTTGCGGGTGGTTGAGCTAACCGCTTGCGATACAGCGTAGCTGAGCATGCAGATAGCAGCAGGGTCAACCTGATAGCATTGCCAGCTATGGACTACAGGTGTGTTGGATCTGCACATGAGCTCCTCATCTTGGACGTGGTTCAAGTTGGACGCCGCCCAGAACACCTCGCCTGTGTCCTGCTGTCGAGCCAGCCACTTCGACAATGCTTTGACATTGACACGCTTGCGTCGAGGCTGCTCCTTGACGAGTCTTCTTGAGACAAAACATGTAAAGTAAACTCCTTCTTCACTACGAGGATCCTTCACAACATGCGGAGGCGGCGACGGCGTTGACGCTCGTCCGGTGTGTCGGGCGTCCCGGTCTCGGACGGAGGCGACCGGCGCTTTCGGTCGAGCGCAATCTCGTACTGCTGCAGCGTCCCATCGGCACTCAGCGTCACGACGTGGTCGCTGAGCAGCGCACCGTCGAGAAGCCGCCCTTTCGACGGCGCCGGCACGCTCGTCACGCGCTTTCCCGACGGGTAGCTCCAGAGCTGGACGGCGTCCGCGCCAAACCCACCGACCGTCACGATCTCGTGCTTTTGGTTTACCGGCCAGAGCAGCGCCGACACTTGACCGTGCGTGGGCGCAGAGCAGAGAAGCGCGCCCGTGTAGGCGTGCCAGCACTTGAGGCTCTTGTCGGCGAGCCCGCCACCGGTCGCGAGGACGCAGCGCTCGTGCGGGCTCCACGCCAGCGCCTTGATCGCGGCGCTGTGGCCTTGCAGAAGGTGCTCGACGCGCGCTTGCCGCGTGTCGAAGAGGCACACGAGGTTGTCGTTGCCGCCGGACGCGAGCCGCGTACCGTCGGCGGAGAGCGCGAGGCCGCACACGCCTTGCGAGTGGTCGGTGCGTACATGCAATCGCGGATGCGGTAGGCGAAAGTCCCAGTGCGCGATCGCACCATCGCGCGCACCCGTGTAGCACCCGGTGCCATGGCTCGCGATGACGTCGATGCGGTCGCCGTGCGCCTGTGCGACGACATCGAGACACACATTTGTCGGGAGGTCGTAGCGGTACAAGGCGCCGTTGCTCGCGCCGAGTGCAAGCTGCGTGGGCGAGAGCCATGCAATCGAGCCGAGTGCTGCGAGCGACGATGGGTGTTGCACGGCGTGCCGAGCGCGCTGGCCCGAGGCCGACACGAGGTGCACTGCATCGGCCGTCGCACACGCGAGCGTTGCTTCGTGCGCGGCCAAGACGTGCGTGTAAAAGTCATCCACGATCGTCTCGTTGGCGAGGTGCAGGAGCGTCGACGACGTCGTCGAGACGGACCGCCGGTAGCCCGTCCACGTCGCCTGCGCCTTGCCGGCCGACGGCGGCAGCGGGTACGGAACTTCGGACGTGAAGATGGCCATCGGTGGCTTGGCACGCAGCGCCACGTACCGATACGCGCGCTCGGTCTATGCACAGAGAAGAGGCGGCATGAGCATCGCAAGGCCGAGGACCATGGCCGACCGTGGCCGCGAGCTCGCGCCGCTTCCGACGCTCCCAGCGCGTCTCGACCTTGGTCTGGATCGGCGCGCAGCAGAGCGCATCGAGCTCGCTCATCGCGAGGCCATCGAGGAAGGTGTCCCAGCCGCCATCGAGCCCGTCGGCGCCGGTCATCGAATCTTTCCGGTTCGAGGCGGATTATCCGGATGATTGGGAATCCAACCCGAGCCATCATACGATGAGCAATACAATTCGCAAGACGAATCTGCACGCCGGCAAATGAGTGTGGCTAAAATCACGCCACCTAGCGTCGACGACTTCTTGCATCGTGCAGCACTCGCCTCGCTAGCAGGCTCGGCGTCGAGCAAACAGTGCATGCTCATAGAACGACTGTGATTGCAGTGCTTTGGAGGGCAGCTTGAGTACGCTACATGCGCATGCTGCTCTCATGGCTCTCTGCGAGAAATGGCATTCTCTGGATGCTGATGCTGGTGCCATCGTAATGCTAGCAGGAGACCACTACAACCTTACGATTGGCATACACGACACTAGAGCACTGCACATTACTGCAGGCTGAGCAGCATGCGCCGCACACTCGGCCACAGTCGCCACGTGCACAGCTCAACCGCAGTCTCGAGCCTTGATGGATGTCTGTCTAAGAACACGCAACCCAAAATCTGATCGTGGCTTGCACCAGTTGCCAAGTCGCCGGAACATGGTCACGGTCGTCGTCCCGCCCGCGGCCGCCAAGGTGACGCTTGCGTACGCCGGCGCGTTCCTCTTCAACATCCTCATCCAAGTCGTCGGGAAGGTCCGGTCGATCCGGGCCTTCAAGGCGCTCAAGGCCGCGACCAGCACGAAGGAGCGCTACAACCGGTACACGAGCGACGTGCTGATCGCGGCCGACCGCTCCGTGGGCAACTTTGTCGAGTGGCAAGGCGTCTTCCTCTCGCTCTTCTGGGCGAATGCGCTCGTGACAGGCAACGAGATCGAGCTCGGGTACGTGTACGTGGCCATCCGCCTCTTGTACCCGATCCTGGCGCATGCCGGCGGCGTCACGCAGGCCGGCCCGCGCCCGCTCATCTTTCTCGCGACCGTGCCCGGCTACTACGTCCTCGCGCGCTACGCCTACCTCCTCTACCAGGCCCTCTACGTCGACGCTCGTGAGATGTATTGCCACCGCAATGAACCCCATCGATGCGTCCATATATATGTATCACTGCAAGCCGCTGCCGTGCTGCCACGTGTAGGGCACCAGCGCTGGATTGGGCTACCAAGCATAGCACGCCACAGCGTTCGTCGATGCACGTTGGTGTCGCGATGGAATCGCATCAACCCCGTGTCGCCGTTCGATGCTTCCTGCATCGAACGCAGGAGGTACAGGGTTCAAGCCTCGCAGGTGCCGCCTCCTTCTTCGCTTTCCCTCGGGCATTGTTGGTATCATTGCCACCACGTTGGCTCGAGACTGTTGGCATCCATCCATGTCCCATCATCGCAGGGGTGTCGGCAGCCGCAACGACCCAGGGCGGTGCACAATGCAAGGACGTCAAGTCCACCGATCATCTGATGTCTCTTCTGATGGTGCCAATGACAGCGTTCTCACCACTGCTGGATTGCGCCATCGTTGGTACCATGTCGCTGCCATTCCTCGCACGCCTCTCGCCTTCCAACGCAAGACGACGCTCGCTCTCCTCCTCGCACGACAAGACATGGAGGATGCAAAGACGATAAAAAGAGCTTAAAACTTGGAGACGAGCGGCGTGCGCTCTTCGCCGTTGGCGCGGTCGCCCATGAGCACCATGTCGGACGGGTTGCGGCCATAGTACATCTTGCGCGCCGCGTTCTTGCGGTGCATCGTGAGCAGCAGCACCGTCAAGCCGACGCCGACGATGCCGCCGAGGATGAAGCCGCCGGACGCCATCACCGTGTTCCACGTCGCATGGGCGAGGTCGGCCGACGTAATCGAGTCGACGGTCGCGTACGAGACGTTGGATGGGATCGAAATCAGATGGGCCGAGCCACCGAAATCGCACGTCGCGCCCTTGGTCTACATCGACTTATCTGAGCCTCGATCGCTCCATCATGTCAGGAGACGTACTCGCTCGAGGTGCCAGTAGGCGTTGTACGCGTAGTCGCAGCGCTCGATCAAGGTCGCATACTTGGTCTCAATGTCCTTGCAGTCGACGCCGGGGCAGTTGCACGCGTACTTGAGGCCGTTCTCGAGCTCAAAGGCCTTGACGCCGCGCTTGGCCTGGCACACAAACTCGCCCTTGTCCTCTGCGAGGCACGCATTGTCGACCTCGCCCGGCTCGTAGTTGCTGACGTTCTTGGGGAACGCGCCGAGCCGGCAGAGCTGGATAAAGTTCCACGTCATGTCGAGCTCCGTCTTGAAGTTCCAAAAGTACCAGCCGTGGCCGACCTGGAACGCGTTGAGCTTCTTCCGGACCATGTTGGTCGTGAACGCGAGGTGGTCCTCGTCGAACGAGGTCTGGCTGTTGACCGGGCAGTAGCCAAACGACGGGCCCGAGGTGCCGGTGCCATACGGCCCCTGGATCGGCTTGGTCACGTCGAGCGGCGTGCCGGGGAAGCCGTAGCCGAGGTACGTCGAGTCGACGGGGCACTTTTGGTAGGTGCACATGACCTTGGGAAAGCCCGGGAGGTTGTCGTTGAAGCCGTTGAGCCACATGGCACAGTTGTCGGTCGCGACCGACCACTCGCCGACAATGACGGGCATGAGCGCGTTCTCCATGTCCGAGATCGTGTACTTTTGCTGGCACGCGTTCGAGTTGAAGTCTTCGGCGCTGCCTACATGCATCCCATTTGCATCAATACACAAGGAATCAATGAAAAGCAGAGCGAGGATCGAAGCGCGTACCAGGGTTCATCCACGCTTGGTAAATGTGCGTGTCGAGCGCAATGTCCGGGCAGCCCTTCATAAACTGCGACCAGTAGCTCAAGCCAAAGCGGAACGAGTCGTGGACGACAAACTTCCACGACGGCGCGAGCGACTTGGTCACCTTGTACGAGTCCCAGTAAAAGTTCTTGAGCACGTCAATGGGCGTGAGCTCCCACGGCTCGTTGACCGGCTGCAGCCCGAGGATCGCCGGGTGGTTGGCGTACCGCGTCACAATCTTGTTGACGACCGTGAGCGACTGGTTCAGGTTGGCATAGTTGATCGACGAGTAGTTGTGGTGGATCGGGTCAAACGTGCCGGCCCACTCGGCGTACCGGATCGGCCAGTGCTCAAACGTGGTCGTGCCCACGGGCTGCGTGCTCGCAAGCGACGTCCACTTGACCTGGTGCGTCTTGCCGCTGTTGTCAAAGCCGTTTTGGGACCCAATGTGGCCGTGGATGTCGATGAGCACGTTGATGTTGTACTTGTCGCAGAGGTCGAGGACGCGGTCGAGCTGCTCGATCGAGCCGTCCGTGCAGCCAATGTACGGCTCGTACGGCACAAACATCCAGTCGCCGACCGGGATGCGCAGCGAGTTGACGCCAAACGACGCCATCTCCTTGATGTCGGCCTCCGTGACCCAGTTGTTCCAATGGATGCGCAATTGGCGGTTGGCCTCTTCCTTGCCCAAGGCCGTGCAAAACGTGTACTGGTCCATCGCCGTCTTCTCGGGCGCTTGGTCGCCAAACCGCTCCTGCGTGCCGAGGAACTGGTAAAAGAGCGTCGGCGTGATCCATGGCTCGAGGACGAGCCAGCCACCGAGGTTCGTGCCACGCACTTGCACGTTGAACGGCGTCGAGTGGATGTCCTGCGAGCACGTCTGGGTGTCGTCATGGGCGACAAAGTCGCGGAATTGGATGCCCGCCGGCGACGTCGGCGCCGTGGCCTTGGGCGCCGCATGCGCCTTCGTGGGCGCCGGCTTGTGCTTGTCGCTGTCGTCGGTGGCGGCCGCGAGGGCCAGGCTGAGCGTCGCAGCCAGCACGGTCCACTTCATGGCTACGGGCGAAATCACAAACTGGTGCGATCTTTGCCCCAAACTGAAAAAATATCGAATCTTTCATCCGGATACCACGACGTTGAACCGACCCGCGTTCTTTAACGCCACACGCGAGATTAAAAAACAGCGACACAATTCTTTTAATCCATCTTTTTTTCTTTTTTGAAACCCGCGGTATAAAACAGGCCCGCGACGTAATGCAATGGGCGTGTCGCGAGGTGGCGACCGCGGTGACCAGCGCACGCCCTGGGAGAGGGCAGCGCGCGAGCTTCAAGCTACGCATGGAAAGGCAAAGCGATTGAGCCAACTGCAACCTGAACTGCAACCTCGCCAAGCGTAACGGCAACCTCATGCGGTGACTACCGCGCCGCATGGGGCTGCTCGAGTATAAACACGATGCGAATGGACCATCAGAACTGCGACAACCAGTAGTCGCTCGACCAGTGGCAACAAGCTCTTGTCCACGCTGTCGACTCGCCATCGAAAAGGAAAAGTAAGTTGGCTTTTCTACGCGGCGCGTGGCAAATCCTGGCGACGGACTTGGCAGGGTGAGTTACACTACACTGCAACAACCAAGCCTCTCTTTGATCGTCGGTAAGCTGGTGCGTAAGGCGGGGCCTCTACGCAGCTACGCACAAGCTCGTAGCTGCTATCCTGCCACCGCGTCCGGCGAACGTTCCCGAACAGGCGCGTTGGTTGAAAACGCTTCTTCAAGCACCAAAACCGTTCCACGTGCGCATTTTTGGTGTATATGTAGCGTGATGGACGCCACAGCGGCGACTTCGGTGCAGCAGAGACAGGGCGGGGGCTCGTGGCCCCACGTTCAGATTGCGATCTTCTTTTATAATTTTGTAGGTTTTTTAAATGGAATAAAAGAACGCGCCGATATCCTGCGGGTGGATTTCTTGCCCGTATCCGGATCGGAACACGGCTGCTGGCCTTTCCCTTGCAGACTGTTGGACGCGAAGCGAGTAGCTTCGTCGCCCATCGAGGACGGCGGCGTGCGATTGGTAACCGCGTCCGTCGCAGCGCGCTGCAGTTGTTTGCGTGTCTATACACCACGAGTGCTGCAGGTCGCCGCTTCGACCCTCGACGCCCTCGACCATCCGCCACCGCACGATCGCGCCTGGACCATCCATTCGGCATACGCCACATCATGTTCTTTATTATGAAAAGCTACTGCGGAAGGTTCGACGTTTTTGTGGGCGTTGTGACGTAGCGGGATCAGACAGCCCGCGCAGATATCATTCGCCGAACGTCGCCGAACGGGCACGCGAAGGTGCTTGTGGTGGCAAGGCACCTTGGACTGACCGGCATAGGTGGATTACATGAGGGTCGAATCTGGGCTCGCTCCCGAATGAATCTTCAAGCTGGCGTGCCAAAATAGGATCCTAGGTACTTTCAAGCGGCCGTGCTTGCCACGTTGGTGTATTAGGCGTAGTGCCAACGGCGGCGGTGATGCAATCGTTTCATCAAGGGAATAGCTCGTTATGCCCTTGCATTGAGCACTTATATGGACCGTTGTGAGCAGTGGAAACTAGCGAGCTTGATCGTACTGCCACCTGCCGTCCGGATAAATGGCAGCGTTCCAGTGACGTGCTATTTTTCAACGATCGGGGCGGGTGTCGAGTGCGCAAGCCATGGATGCGTACAAGCAGCAGCATCGTTTACTAGACATCTTTGAAGTTGACGACCGATCGAGGATGCTGCGAGTACTTGATGCAAGTAGTTACCATACAAGCATCCAGATGTACATCTCGCGATGGCGATGTGAAGCGGCGACTGCATGCCCACATACACTCGATAGAAGCTACTTGGTCGTCGTTTTCGAGAAAAAGGGGCCGTAGAGCCACATCGTTCCGCCGGATTTGAGGGCGAAAAGGAGGAGGGGCACGGAGATTCGGCGAAACGCAGCAGAAGTGTCGTTGATACTAGTCGGGGGTCGATACGCTGCCGATCCATACGAGCGCGGCCGATCGCTGCAAGCACGTGGTAGAATACGGCCGACCGAGCCCATTGATCGATCATCAATCCATGCTCTGCCGCCACTGAAAACCTTGCGTTTTGAACGCACTTTTGGTCGTGCGAAAGGGAACAAGAGAGAGCAATGGAACTTGTCGAGACGCAACGAAAAACCGGGCGCTGCGACGTGTGTGGCCGTCGAGACACTATGGTGGCAGGCCCGATCTGCATTTCTAGCCGCACGTTGCGTCTGCAGATGTTTGCTAGAACAAAACATCTGCCATGCAGATCAGTTGCGACCGTTTTACCGTGCGAGACGTCGTCGTGTAGCGTTGAAGAGCTGTCTCAGAGCCACATTGGGTGACAGCAAGGCCACGACGAGCGGATCAACACGCCCAGATGGCAGCAGCACCCGCCTTCTCGGACGCCAAAATGGCTGCGGGACGTATTTATTGCTGTTTTGAAAATCGTTTCTCTCTCGACAATCGAAGCAAGATATTCTAGACCGTCGTGTTCACTCGGTGGTAGACGATTCTGTCCTGGCGGGGATAGGAGCGCGATTCGGCGCAACTCCTCCATGCTGTGCTAGAAGCTGGAAGAGATCGGGCTCTTGCACGAGGCTGCGCTACTGATGCCGTGATGGTGGTCGACACCGTGGTCAACCGAGCGCGTGTACTGGGCTGTTAGAGCACAAGGCGTTTTGGTCACGCCTGACTAGACCAGGAACTCAAGCCAGAGGTAGCGAATCCCGTCTTGATCGACGTTGTAGTCTACTCGAAGTACACGGACATATTCTTTCATTCCTGAATCCATCCACAATGACACTCCCCTCGCATGACATACCGCAAAGTATCAGAATATTCTTCTTCACTTGCGACCCGGATGCGCCTTGTTGTTGAAGTGGGTCTTCTATTACTATAGATATAAACTATGCTAAATAAGAATGTCGGACTTTCTTCGTTGTGTGTACTCGGTTGAGGGACTTGATTTAGGCAGGCGGAGGCAGGATGGATGCGCCTTGTGAACGATTGCCGACACCTCTTGCGCAGCGAGAACAAGGGCCGAAAGCGCCAACGGTGCTGCAAACGGTCTGTGGTCGACCTTGCAAACCGTTCTTGTCGGCAGAGTACACAGTTGCAATGTCGTGGACGCACGCGCTGGGCTACGGCGCGGACCACCAAGACCGAGTTGTTGGCGCCAAAGACGCAGTCCATGGGCTGCGCAGCGACCACGGTCGGGTCGTGGACGTTGTGGAGAATCAAAGTCTTGTTGGCCAGCGTCTGGTTACAAGGAGCCGCAAATCGATCGATCGGCGGCGTCGTTCAGAACGTCGTGGGCATGAGAGCCACGTCGCGGGAGTTTTTGGGCGGCACGAAGACCGTCGCCCCAGCTCTACGCCGCGTTGGTTGTTGGATCCGCTTTATTGCTCGTAATCGAAAAGCCGTCCAAGCCAGCGTTGCGGGTCTCGAGCTGCGACGGACACACATTACTTGCCGGCGGTGCCGCGTAGGTGCTTTGCATGAGCTGGTGCACGTCGGTCGCGAGCTTGGACCATAGCGTTGGCTGATACATGGGCAGGAAGACGAGTGTGAAAAGGGTATAAAATGAACGACTTTTGGTACAGTTCTGGATGAACGACCGCAGATATATATGGCCATGGCCAGCAAGCGGGTAGACAAGCGGTCCGCAGTGGAACGGGTCCGGCGAGGTAGCAGCAGCAAGCGCAAGGACGGCGCTCACAACCATCGCTGCTTTGACCATGATAGCGGAAGGGCAAACTCGAGATGGCATTGCGTCGCGGCCAGAATGTATTAGGTGATCGTGACATGTATTCCTGTTGAATATAAGTCCGAACACCACGTCAATCAATCTGGTTGCAGCACGAAGGCGGTCGCATTCTGGACGACCACGACCGAGAGACATACATGTACTTGTAGTATATACCCTGCTCAACCTTCTACTAGAATGTGACGAGTGTTTCACCTACCGTGACAGCGTTCGCACGCGCTTTTGGTTGCTGGAATGACCCAACCGGAATGGATCAACAAATGCATCGCGTCGACCAGCGCTCTCTCCGCACCGAGACTTTTTCCCAAGGGAATAAACACAATATTTCTCTGTATCTTCTGCACTTTGCACCCGACAGAACAACTTCTTGACAGATTCAAACAGCTCGACACGTCAAAACGGGTGTACAATTACATGGATGGTGTCTTAGTCAAGAACAAACATCTCGACCTTGAACGTGGCGTCGTGGGCGCCGGCCGTCGACGGGGGCGTGATGGTGACACCAAGCGTCGCACCATGGGCCGACAAGTCGGCCGAGACAGTCTTGGGCGCGGCCGGCGAGCCCTCGATCGAGATGCCCGTGACGTTGACCGTCTTGGGCCAAATGGGCCAAAGATAGTCCACGTCCTCAAGCTGGCGGCGCACCGGCGCGTGGTCGGCGACGCTAATGTCGCACGCCGTGGCCTTGGTTCCGACAGCGCTCTCGACAAAGTACTCGACCTTGCCCGTGGCCCCCACCTCGATCTTCTTCGTGCCTTCCGGGAAGACGAGCTGGACCTTCGAGACGCCCTCGCCAATCACGCCGCAAATGTACTTGGACGTGAGCACCTGCGAGGCTTCGAAGAGACCCACAAGGTACGCTTCGGTGGACGGGTTGACCTTCATGTCGACCTTGGCGTCCGCCGACTCGAAGAGCCCGACGAGGTAGGCGTTGGTGACCGGGTCAAAGCTGGGCTGCGCCGAGACGAGGGCGGCAAGCGCGGCAAAAGCAACAGCGAAAAGCTTCATTTTGGTGGTGGGATGGAGGTGGCAAATTGAAAAGTGAATGCAGGAGGTCGGTACTTGTACGCGCCGCCGCGGGATGACCAGATTATGTCGGTCTCTACCGCAGTACAGCCAGCTTTGGGTGTCGGCTCCCATGGCGATCTTCGTGCGAACTGTGTGTACGCGCTTGAGTGCCACCGTGACCAGACGCGTCTTGAGAGACAGGCCGTCGCTCGTTGAGTGTCTTTTTCAAACGCATGGATGCTGGGGTCTCTGAGAAAACCGACCAAGCGACGACGAACGGTCACGATTGACGGACCAAAACAGATGGTTCTTCGGTCTGCTGCATACCGGCTATGCGCACGCAATTCCATAGCAGTGTTCCTCGTGGCGCAAACTGCTCTAGCACTCTTTGGTAGAGCCTTCTACAAGCCCAATGGGACGCATGACTAGATGCTTGCCTTGCCGCGCCGGAGGCTGTCGTAGCGGGGGCTGGGACTGTTTTTGTACGCGGCCTTTTTGTGGCCTCACGACGACGCCACCAAGACTGTACCTGCCAAATGGTATGGATCTTTTCTGTCTGCACGTCGGGATTCGATTGTCGTTAACTAATTTTTCGAGCTGCTTGGATAGAATAGCGAGCGTCGTGGCGACACAAGTACCGGTATAATCGCAAGGATCTGCCAAAACTGGTTCGCTGGACCTTCTTCGTCCATTGTAAGCCCGTCGGGGGAGAGACACGAAAATAGCAGTTGCCAACGCTACTTTCAAGGCCCCTCGGAGAGCATTTTAAACGATTACACCCCTGTCTCACTTGCCCATCATGTGTCCTACCTAGCATCATCGCCATCGTGTAGTAGAGTGGATGCGATAGAACACCACCTTGAACAACGACAGTCCAGACAGCGACGTGCAACCGTCGACATCAACAGCCACCACGCTACTCACTGGGTGTGCTGTAGTAGCAGGAATACCCAGGTACCTGAACGCAATGGAAGCACAGAGGGCAGCCCGAGCGGAAGGCCCTCTCTACGACCGAGTCAACGCCGCGGATCGCGCTCCTGCCTCCGCCTGCCTAAATCAAGTTCCTCAACCGAGAGTACACAACGCAGAAAGTCCGACAACTTTATTTAGCATCGTTTTATCTATTGCAATAGACGACCCCCTTCAACAACAAAGTCAGAGTCGACGACAAGAGCAAAATCTGCCGACGGACTAGTGATGCCTCTGGGCGTGGATGCATAGGATGTAGGAGTAGGCGATGCACGAGGCACATGCAAATACATGTACTAGTAGTCGCTGGGCATGTGCCATGACAACGGCCAAGCCCGAGGCGAAGCGGAGTGACAAGCATCTCTCGTCTTGGACGATCGCAGTACAGAAGAGAGGAGACAGCCGTCGTACAGAAAGCCATCAGACGATGCATGCTCCATCCTAAACCATGCAGCGTGGAGCAACCAAGGGTCTCCAAGGGTCTAAAAAGCCAAGCAACAGTGTAAAGGCCCGTGTTCCAAACCGTCAGTGTGCAATCTCGAGTCGCTGGTCAACGACGCCATAGCGCGCTTCGCATCGCCACCGACAAGCCGGAACTGGGAGCGTCCCAGGTTGCCAGTCGCCGCACCATGGCTCTGCTTGCCACATGGGCCTGATTCCCATGGCTCCCCACCGCCGCAGGTGGATGCTACTGCCAACGCGACAGTGTATACAGGACGCAGTGACTGTTCGCTCGTTTATTTTAGCAAAGGGTGATGACTCTACATGTCCTTGAGCGCACGCACGGCTGCCCCAATCCGGTGCTGGGCCTTGTTGGCAATCTAGTTGAATCATTAGCATCGTCCATGGACATGGAAACATGGCGTACGTCGATGGACGGGTCCAGAGCGAGGAGCGCACGGATGTCCTGGAGCGCGAGGCGGTAGCGCTCGAGGCCTTCGTACGCAAGGCCACGGCGCAGCAGCGCCTTTTGGTTCGTCGGCTAGCATAGTCGTTGACATGAGCACATCATCAAGTGTTGCAATCGCCTGACCTCAACTTCGAGGACGTGGGAGCAGTCGCGGATGACGGCGGAGAAGTTGCTGAGCTGCTGGTGGCACGCAGCGCGGTTGTTGTAGCACGAGATCGCGACGGGCGACGAGTCCTTCTCGCAGGCCTCGATGGCTTCCGTGTAAATGCCAATGGCCTTTTCAAACTGCGCGCTCTTGAACAAGTCGTTGCCTACCGTCCGCGTTCGAGCTCATCGCAGAATATAGCACATTCTACCTTGCTCCTTGAGCTGCTCGGACGGGTTCATGCCGGCGCGCTTGGCCGCCTGCACCTTGGCGAGAAGCGGCTCGACCTAGAGACTGGCGGTTTGCGATGGTTGGCAGCGAGGATCGCGGTGCTACCTCGTTGATGAGCTTGTTGAGATCCTTGTTGTCAAAGTCGACGCGCTGGCCAGCCTTGAGGATCTCAAGGGCCTTGGCGTAGTCCTTCAAGCCCTTGAGCCCGAGCGCGTAGCGGTGGTAGCCTGCATGCATATGAGTCGCCCATACTAGTAACCCGTATGGCTTCGCGTACCCTTGACGAACGTCGGGTTGAGGCGCACGCACGCTTCGCCGTCTTGGGCGGCCTCGGCGAACTTGCCAAGGCCAGCGTAGGCAGCACTCCGGTTCGAGAAGTAGACATGGTTGGAGCTGTCGAGCGCAATGGCTTCCGAGTACTTTTCGATCGCGGGCGCGTACTCCTTGCGCTTGAAGTACTCGTTGCCTTCGCTAGGTGATGCATCGGCTGAGCCTCATGGACCATCTACCACCAGCAGCAGCAGCATGCGCACGTACTTCTTCTTCGCCTCGGCCTTGGGGCTCGCCATGATACTGCAGTTGTGGTCGGCAGATCGAACCTCTTGCTGCGGTCGATATCCGGATACTGCGCGGCGGCCATTGGCGGAAGCGGGCTGCTGTATCCGGATGTCACTTTCTAGAACCACGCGATCCAAAACAGTGTTTCAAACGCTGTTTCGTGGTGCGTCGTTGCACGGTGGTCCGCACTCGGCGCTCATACGCGGTCGCTCAGCGCATGGCCGACGCAGTCGCACCACCCCCTTGATCGCATTAACATTCTAGCATGGCTGAAGGTGTGCAGGAAGCACAAGGTCCTGAGTCTAGTGCTGCAGATAGAGCAGCGTACTAGTAGAAGGATGCCAAGGCGGTTCAAGCGTGAAGACAGAGTAAAATACCAGATAAATTACAAGTACGCTGCCGTAGTTGTGGCCGATGACAATTAAGTCATGGAGATCTGCGACGCCTGGACATCATGCAAGATGAGGTACTAATAAGATAACGTGGCTCGTACCCGGCTGATTGTGTCGAGACGTGCTTCCATGGCCTGGAGCAGGCCACTGCCGTGGGCGTGGGTCTCGGCCATCGTCTTCTCCAGCTGCGTGTTGGCTTGGTGGATCTACGTCCAGAACGTTTGAGCTTGCGCTTTAGCAAGGTGCCAATTCGTACTTCGTGAAGCTGCAGCTCGAGGCGCTTCTTCTCCTGGCGAATGAGGCGGACACGCTCGATGGTCATGAGGTCCTGCGGCGTCTGCGGCTCGACGCGCTGCGGTGTCCTACGTACGCTTAGATACGGCATGTGCTAGAGCTCGTCCGTACGCTGCTTGGATGCCGGCTTCTTGGCGCAAATGCGACTGCTCGTCCCAGGCCATGAGCGTCTCGAGCTCGGCAAACTTCTCGCAGAGGCCATACTGGCTGCACAGCGCGTCGAATTGGACCTGTCCATCATCATGCAGTGTGAGGCTGAAGCTGAGATGCCATCGACATACCTCGATGCGGTGGCGGATGTTTTGGATGACCTGGACGCCGACTTCGTCCTGGAAGTCCGTGTTGGTCAGCGGCAGGTAGTCGGTCATCTCGAGCGCGCTGGCTTCGCTCACAGAGGCGTCGAGCGCCTTGCGGAGGATTGCGCGCAGCAGCTGCATGCGCTTGGGCTCGACGCCCGTCGCTGCCATCGGGTTCACGTAGGCCATCGTCGCCGGCCTTTCCTCTTCCTCGTCGGTGACTGCCAGCCGGCGCAACCTCTTGGAATCTATCACATGTATTTATACAGTATACGCACCTCTGTTTGGTAATACATCTATACTCTAAAGTCACCCAGCCTATGGCGGTTAACACGCTTGAAGCCCGACAATAGGACAAAAAAGTAGCCGCTTCGCGCCTGCGCTCTGCACGCACAAAATAGCTCTATCGCGCGCCAAACGTGCGCGGTACGGCTCGATGAATTTCTATATCAACCCACTGACACAGCCCGTCAATGGCGTGATATTAGCCTCAACACCACAACCAGCCCATGAAATATCACGTTTTCGCATTTACGCACCTATTTTGATTTGAATCAACGGGCCAAACATCAACTTGTTTGTATGTATATTTGTTGTGAAAATATATTATTTTTAAAGCACCTATCAGCAGGTGCGTCTTTAGGCCCTCGCCAGGCCATTGGTCCTCAGGCGCGGGCGTGGTTGGCGGGCAATTGACAGACGAATCACTCTGTAAATACTTTCAGCCAGGTACGACGCCGCCGTCGCCGCTTCCACGATCGCTCATGCTCCTGTCCTAGTAACATGCAGATCTTCGTCAAGACGTTGACGGGTAAGACCATCACGTTGGACGTCGAGCCTTCGGACTCGATCGACAACGTCAAGCAGAAGATCCAGGACAAGGAAGGCATCCCTCCGGATCAGCAGCGCCTCATCTTCGCCGGCAAGCAGCTCGAAGATGGCCGCACGTTGAGCGACTACAACATCCAGAAGGAGTCGACGCTTCACCTCGTCCTCCGCCTGCGTGGTGGTGGCAAGAAGCGCAAAAAGAGAACTACACCAAGCCGAAGAAGGTCAAGCGCAAGCACAAGAACGTCAAGCTTGCCGTCCTCAAGTTCTACAAGGTCAACGACAACGGCCAGATCCAGCGCCTCAAGAAGGAGTGCCCGTCGCCCGAGTGCGGTGCCGGCGTCTTCATGGCCACGCACTTCGACCGCCACTACTGCGGCAAGTGCCACGTCACGTACAAGTTCTCGACCGAAAACTAAGTGCTGAACGCTAATGCAATGCTGCCTGAGAGTATTCTTCCATTTCCTTCGAGTCTCTCGGTCTCAAGACATGCGGGCTCGCCCCGGCCCGAACGACAATATACTACTAAACAAAGCAGAAATCCACCTTCTGAACAATAGGCTGTCGACGAGGTGCCACCTGCATCATAACACCGACGAGGCATGATGTCGGCGTCATTCGCTGAGCAGCTGCAGCAGACTGACGCCCTCGCAAGTGTCGCTGTTGCCGACTAGAGCTCGTCTTTGGTCGTGCTGATGCTGAGGTAGACTGTGTCTTTTGAGGTCATTTTCGAGGCGAAACGGTTTGCGTGAATCGCTGCGCCTCGTCGAGATGGCCGAGTTTGCCGCGTTCCACTACTTGATGCACAAAAAGGCGGATGGCGGCCCGCCCGCGATGAGCATGGACGACTTTAGCCGGCAGTTTGGCGGCGCCAAGCCCAAGGCACCGCCGACCTTTAGTGAGCTCTACTCGCCCCGTGAGCAGCGCCAGCTCCACGTCTCCGAAAAGCTATTTTGGCGCTCCAACGAACGCATCGAGTTTCGACTTTTGGAGCTTCGCGCGCGGCAGCTCTTGCTGGTCTTGTCCGCCAACCTTACCACCAACGAGGTGCACCAATATTGTCCACAATAATGCTCCATGGCTGCACTCGTATCGGAATTGTAGGAATATCGTCCGATTTGCATCCATGCACCGCTGTTGTACCAAGTGCTGGAAACAAAAACAAGGGAAACCATACCCGAGTGTCGTCGAGAAGCGGGTGCTGAGCGATATCGAACTCCGCGCCGCGATCCAAGAGTTTGTACTGTCGCGGCTCAAACTCATGGACAAGCCGCCTCCCGACGCCTCCCTCGTTGAGCGACAGTGTTTTCTGGACAAGTCCTTTGGTGACGAGTACGATACACTACTGGCAACAACGCCTCTCTCGGACGCCGAGGTCGTCGCGCTACTTGACGGCCTCGAACGCAAGGGGAAGCCAATATGGTTGCGACCGCCGACGACGGTCGACAACGTCATCAACGAACCCCCCGCCGTCGTCGTCGTCGAGCCAGTACTTGTCGTCACCGACACCACTTTACCAGCAATAGCGACCGAGACAAGTCCATCAAAGGCGGTCGTCGGAGGGACCGGCATCTCGGCAGCCCGAGGCTTGCGAAAGCAGAGCCCGCCCAAACCGGCGTCACCGAAAAAGCCGGTAGTATTAGTAAAAAGGCTAAAAAGTAGCAATTTGCAGACACATCTACTAGGAGACTCGACAAGTGACAGCTTTCCATGGACAATCTGGTGCAGAGACTCGAGAGACTGCCACACGAGCGACGGACCAATCCATGCCCATGCCATGTGCCCTTGCCCCTGGCGGGCTTCATGAGACCCAATCCTATGAATTTCGACCAATGATTGTGTCTCAAATCTTTTACGCACTAAAGATTGGATAAAAATCACGACGGTAACGGCCCCCGTACCGCGATGGCCATGACCGAGACCCCCGTGCAGCCCTTTGCGCCAGGAATCGAGCAGCAAAAGGTCCATGACTTTAGCTTGCTCCTCGTTCAAGAGTTTTGCAAGCACCACCAGCTCACACGGACCGTCCATGCGCTGCAGTCGGACCTCGAGCACGTACACATGGTCGGTGAATTCCCCCTTGGTTATGGAAATGCTGGGTGTAGATGGCCTTACCGCAGCCAAGTGCCGACGTCTGGATTGAAATGCACGAGCGGTAGAAATTCGACAGTTGTCTTTGAGTGGCCACTGTGCTGCATAGATGTCGCCCAGCGTTGACGCGACTCAAGGTGCACGAGCAGAGTACGATCGAAGGGTTGGTGGACTTTGTACTGCATTTGAACGAAATGTACGAATCCCGGGCGGCCAATCAGCCCATGAGCGTCATCATTTCGTCGTCGCCAATGAAGAAAAGTGGGAATGATTCTGACTTGTTTTGTTTGAATACATGTCAATGTTTAGGCAAGAAATTTTCATTCAAGGACGCCTTTCACTCGACCCAAAGCCCCGTGCGTCGACCGAGCCAAAAGAACAAAGAACCATCCGAGACCGAGGTGCCTCTACCGCCCCAAGAGCCCGAGAGCCACCCCGAGCTGCCACCGAAAAAACTTACAAAGTCCAAATCCTCCTTTTTGGAGCGCTACAGGTAGAGATAGCCATTCGGGCACTCTCTTCTTCGACGAACCCATACATTGTAGCAGCAACTTGCCGAAACTGCAGCTGCAGATCGACATGTCGGACTCCAAGCAGCGTGCTGTGACGCAGAAAGCGGTCGAGCGCAGTCTGCGCGATATCTAGTACGTATCTTCTCGCGTCGCGATGGCAACGTCATCGGGACGAGTAGCTCGGAGACTCGGTTCAAAGAAATCCAAGACAAGGCGATTGCGCGTGCGATGCCTGCGGCGCTCTCAAAGCCGCCCCCCGAGACCGACGTGTACACCAAAGAGCTTGAAAAAGAGCGGTAGGCCAATCATATCCTTTTGCAATAGTGAAAGGAGCTCAATTGCACAAAAGGTATGGTACCAACAAGCGTCGCGAGTGCGCATTGTGCCACGTCCCGTTCCTCATGATCAACTTGCCGGCCAAAGTGAGCTTCCGCTGCATCATGGAGCTCTACAAGCAATGGGCCTTCGCACCCCCGACCAAGAAAACGCCAAGTACCGCCCGCCCAAGTGTTATGACGAGGTGCCAATTTGTCGCTTCTGCGACCAGCTCGTCCAACAAGTCACGTGGGACATGGTACGCACTTTTCGTCGCGAATGATTTGCTCGATGATTGCATAGACCTTTGACGAGCCCAAGAAAGTGGTACCGCCAACGCTGCCGTCCACAGCGTCGATCTGCTTGGGCCTCAAGTACCCGCCGGATCCCTACGGTCTACCGCCATTGGGCCCGGACGACTGCCTGTCGACGGTCCGGTCGTGGGTCGACTCGGACGGCGGTGGGGATACCGACGAGAGACACGTGTGGACACCATCGACGGACGTGCCACCGCTCTCGGTGTCGTCGGCATCGAAAGCACTCGTGTACAAAGACGCCGGGTTGGTCAATGAGAAGAGCATGTCCCAAGGTGAGTGGGCCGTGATCGACCCGAGCCGGAGCTCTGTGCGGGAGCTCCTCCAGAAAACAGTCAAGCGGCAGCTAAAATAGTTACTTGTCCATCTCTGAAATTGTCCCTGATCGTTGCTGCGCGGGGTGGTTGTCCGTAGAGCAAACTTGCCCCATGGGGAGGTAGCTCACTTGCATTGGCTCAAGACGACGACTACTGCGCGTGACAATGAACGCGTCTCTCACGTTGGCTCGTTCAGGGAGGAGCGATACAATTCTGTGCATTAAAAGCACACCGTAACAGCAAAGAGACAACGCCTTCAAAATACACCACGGCTTTCAATGGTACGAAGGGTCCTAATCATCTAGCAAAGCGGCTGCGTATCGTCGCTGGCTTAAAATCGGCATGTGCCGAAAGAAAGACAGGGTCGCCTGTCTAAACTTACCGCGCGGTAACTCCTCTTGAATCTAAATTCGCTCGTCAGTCTTGGTTTGCCTCGTTGTGTCGACTTGACGATGGTGCAGTTTCGTCTCCCGAGCCCGCGAAAGCCAAAAGCCGAGTCGGCGTCCGCTGCGTCGACGCCCGACGACGCACCCGCCGCTGACGCATAGCATCTCGATCAGCGACATTGATGCGCTCCCGCCCATGTCCGAGCACATTTTGGACCATGTGCTTGGGAAGGGCCGTGCCATCGATCGTATCGAGTCGCCGGACCACGCACTTAGCGTCGTCTCGCCCCGCGCCGGCTACTCTAAAATGGACTCGCACGCGCTCTACTGGAGCAAAGAAGGCGTCGTGAAGCGATCGGCGACCGTGACCAACCGCATGCACGCGCGTGGTGTCAAGCTCGAGCACGAGACAGACCCGCGCGCAGACTTGCCGCCGGAAGACGTGCTGGATCCAACGCAACCGGTCCCCGAGCCTGTGCTCATCACGTACAAATCGGTGCGTTCGACTTCTATTGCCGAATCGGTGAGCCTGAAAGATTGACGAGTCGATTAGAACAGGACACTGAGCCCCAAAGTCGTGGCCGAGAAGGACACCAAACACAAGATAATTGCCAAAGCCAATGCCAGCGTCCTGCAATCGCTCGAGGCAGCGTACAAGCCAGCCCAAGGCGACAAGGTGGCCCTGAGCGAGATTGCACATACCGAGAAGGCACCGTCGCGCCACCTTCAGTATGTCGACGGCGATGGCAACGTTCGAAGCCTGTCGCGAACGGGTTGCGACACACCGCTGACGGCGCCACCGTCGACGCCGCCTGTCGACGAGGCAGCGATCGAGGCAACGAGCCCCGTCGTCGTCGAAGTTCAGGCCAACAAAAAGCGAGCCACCAAGTTTTGGACGAAAAATACAAAGGCCAAGGACATGGACGCCGAGCTCAAGAAGAGCGAGTCGGTGCCCGTCAAGGCCGTGTCCCCGCCGGTGCTCAAGAAGAGCGACTCGGCGGGAGACGCGCCGTCCAAGCCCACGACGTCGGGCTGGCGCATGAAGTTTGGCACCAAAGAAAAGGGAAAGAGACGACGGCTCATGTCGTTCAGGCGTCCGCGTTGACAGAATCTGCTGCCGTGAGCGCGCCAGACGTTGCACTGGCCGTCGATTCAAGTCAAAGTGCTACCGTCGCCGCGGAGCTCAAGAAAAGCGAGTCGGCGCCCGCAAAGACAACATCTCCACCGGTGCTCCAGAAGAGCGAATCAGAAGGGGACGCGCCCGCGAAACCCATTGCGATTGGCTGGCGCGCGAAATTTGGTGTCAAGGAGAACGTGAAAGAGGCCACAGCTCCGGTCGTGGAGGCATTGGCGGTCTCAACCACGACAGAGTCGGCCACCGCCAGCGAAGCGACACCGGCGGTACCGACGTCAGAGAGTGCACCGACAGTCGACCGTGTTCAAAATGCGACGGCCAGTGCAGCGACTGTACCTGCTACTGAACCAAGCACCGCCGTTACACCGCCACCCGTGCCTGAGAAGAAGAAAATGTCCGGTCTCTTCAACAAGGCCAAGGCCGAGCCGATGGTCAAGCCCATCGCGAGCGATGAGGCCACGAAAGCAGCATCCACGTCGGACGAAACGAAACGCAAGTCGGCCATCAAGTCGGTCGAGAAGCCCAAAGCGAACCCACTCGACTTGGCTGCAAACCTCGACAGTGGGTCCAACCAAGCTCTGAACGACACCGTCACGACATCCAAGGGCCCGAAGATGACCGACCCGGTGACAACGAGTGACGATGCCGAAACTTCTTCGACGACCAAGCTCGCGCCCATCGAGGCCACAGGACCGTCGGTGTCGGAGACCAAAGCGGATGCAGTGAGCGCTGGCGAGGTCGTTTCGACTGCCCCACCAACAAACACCGTTCTGTCGCCGTCCAAGAAGCGCGGCACCTTTCGCAACCTTTTCAAGGCTCGTAAGTCGTCGATGGGGGCCACCGTCAACTAGTCGACTTCGACTAACTACTACTCTTGAATACGATGCGTATCCTTGTTCGCTTCGGTGTACCATCAGGTATATCCAGTGTCAAACCCGTCGATCGATAGCTTCGCGCCGCGAAGCTTTTGTTCGCAGCGTCCTTGAGCTCAGCAACAAAGAAAATGTGTTGTCAAAATATGGCATTTGCCATTTTTAGCACACCGCCACGTGCTCCCGCCTTTACCGGTAGCCTTTCCCTCCTCTAACCTTATATATGATGGCTTCGCAAGCTCGACGAGAGGCATGTCAGAAGTAATAGCAGAGGCCATGAGCAGAGGCATGAGCAGAGGCATTCGTTTCAAGCGCTCAGTCCATCGAGGGTTGCTTGCGCTTGCAGCTTGAGCTTGAGCTGTCGCGTGGCGAGGAGTACCTACAATATCGTGGTACACATCCGGGGGTCGATTCAAAACCTCTTGAAGACTGTCATGCTGCCCTTGTAGCTCGACTTGCCACATCTCTTTTTGCTGCATGAGGGCATTGCGCTAATAGTACAAGGTTCTCATGCCTATCGACCTGCCAGATCGAGCCGTTCGCACCTCTTGAATCAGTCGTTTGTTCATCGCAATGATCGAGTCGTCGCTCTAGAGACATCTTGTATTCCACTTGAATCATTGAAAAGGGGAAATATACCTCGAGGGGCATCTCGAGCAAGCCCAGTGCAAGTTGTCCCCCCAACGGATCCTGCGACTCGGGGGGGACCTCGAGGGAGCGACGAATGTCATACATGGCGATCGCTGCCTTGTGCCACTGCCCGAGAAGGGCATCCGGGCCGGGTGTCACGGGCGCTTGGACACGGATTGGGCTCGACGGCGCGCGACGGCGGCGCTCCACGACTTTCAGCGTGGCAGCCATTGTCGGTTTCAGCGGCCGAGACCGTAGAAATGGTTCAAATCTTGCTGCCCGAGGCACTCTATGCCGTGACGACCTCAGCGCGCTGCGAACACGTCGCGTCGCATTGCTACTGGCACCTCGAGGTACTCGTCTCGAGCATTTTGTTATGCGCACGCTGCCGTCCGTAGCTCGAGCTGCGGGTGGACGATACGCGCCTGCCGCTGCGCAACGTCGAGACCGACACGGCCGTGCAGCGTCTCTCCGGCAGTCTTTTTGTGTCGTCGATACGTCCCGTCGACGGCAGCGATTTCCACGCCGTCGGCGTCGGCAACCAGCTCGTGGCGGTCAACGACACCGAGCTTGGTAGGTGATGTTGCAATTTTGTGCGATTTTCAAGACATCTGTGATAGGTACACTCAATGTCCTCGAGATGCATCGGCTGCTGCAAGCGGCAACCGAGCACGCGCCAACGCACCTCCTCTTCCTCCGCCACGACTATGCCGATGCCAACGTCGCACTGCACCACATGCGGCCCCCGCTGCTGTCGCCGTTTGAGGTTGCTACGTTTACGCACAACGACGTGGCGTGGTACTTCTCGCCGTCGTACGCTCTCTTTGCTGATACTACTGGGCATCGCCCGACCCTGACGTGGACGTCCCGGGCGTGGCAGCTGTGGCGCGAGGCGCAGACGCGGCTTCACTCTTCGCTGTATTCATGGGACGAGGTGCACATTTTCGGTCGTTTGGCCCAGCACAGAAAACGACGATCCATACGAACGTAGATTGCCTTGGCGCTGGAAGAAAAAATGTGGCAACACCTCTGCGCCAATCTCCTCGACGAGTACCTCTGGCCACAAATGAAGATCCCATGTTTGCCTCCTTATGGACAATGCGATCACGTTTTCATCCTGCGAGTAGATATTGCGCACCTCAATTTAAACAACGATGCTCGGGACGCTTTGTACTGCCAGCACTTTACGACACCAAGCCTCAATAACTGGGGTCTCGAGGTACTCGTGTGTACTGTATTGTGCATGTTTTACAGAAAAGCCATCCTGTCGCTAGCTCGCGGTACAAGCGCCCTATGCACTGACAACAACGTCGCTATCCTCCACGTCCAAAGGCATTGTCGTCGTGACCAAGGCGCCAACGCACGACCAACTCGCAGTCATGGCCGGGGACATCCTCGTCGCCATCAACCATAGTTTTCTGACGACAACAATTCCGTCGGCACGCAAGAAGCTTCAGCGGGTGGCGTCCCAAGCATCGCGATTGCACCCGGCCTCGCTCCTCTTTCTTCGGTCTTGCGCCCTCTCCCTACTGAGAGCGGTTCTCACACCACACATCGTAGATACGAACACTTTGGGATTGCTCGACATTTGACTTCGGGCACGGCACTCCCACCGGTGCCCCTGTCAATCCCGGACCTGCTCTCGAGTCTGTACCCACCGGCGCTCGATACGGCCATCGTGGAGCGGCTACCTCTGCAGGTGGACGCACTGCAGTGGCTCTTCTCAGAAGCCAATGCCTTTACAACACATCGCATCCAAAATCAACTTTGGTACAAATGACGCGGATGGTCATGCAATCGACCTTACGATGGAATGCCAGGTACGCACACCACAAGTCGAAGCGCGTCTTTGCAGAACACCCACTTCGAATTCTCTTGTACCCTTTGATTGAAGCCACCCGTCGCCGACTGCTGTGGTATGCCACTTGTCCTCGCAAAATGCCTCGTCGAATCTCATGGCCGGTGGCAGGACGGTGCGGTGGGTCGAACGGCGGTGGCAGCGGCGCGTGCGGCTTGTCGCTGCCGTCGATGCAGTTCAGGAACGCGTCCTCCATGGATTCTTGGAGACCGCGATCAACGTGTGCATCGAGCACCTCTATACACCGGTCGTCATCGATTATGCAAAGCGCGTTGTCGAGGGAACGATCACGAGCGTCCTCGATGACGTTCTCCGAGACGAGGAACAGCTCTTTGTGGCCAGCCTGCATCGCTTTCGGTTCTTACATCGAGAGTGCGCGTGTCTTGTGAAGAAGATGACGTCATATACTACTGTCGTAGCACTGATCTGGAGCCGACCAAGCCGTTGCCGACACATACTGTCGTTCGACGGCAAGTGCCAAGGCGTGTTGGCGCCACCACCGCAGTACTCGATGTGGGCCCAGCACCAGAAGAAGACCCTCTGAACACGCTCGCGACCGAGAGGTTACTGAACGTACGCGCCACTTTCGCAAGCGTTCAAGCGACATTGCGACTGCGCAACGTGGCTACGGGCGCACCGTTACTGACGACGACGACACTTGCAAGATCGCTCGAGAAGCTCGCCGCTGACGACGGCTGGATGTCGTCGTCAAACTCTACCGTTGCAGCGCCAATGCTCCCAAAGGACGACAGCATGGTAATCGTTTCAACCCACCAAGAGACAGGGCTATTAACGACCGGCGACCAGATCAACGGCGCAGTCTTCGGCAGCTACAGCGATTGCGTCGAGAACGCGCCGGTGGGAGAGACTACGATGGACCGCTTTGATTCTGACATGGCGGCAATGATTCGTCCTCCAACGCCACTAGACGTACCGAGGACTGAGCCAGAGGCCTCCATGGGGCTGCTCCCACTGGATACGAGCGTCGCAGAGGCAAGTGCCATGCACAAAGCGTCGGCGACATCGTCCGACATTGCGTGTCCAGAGAGCCAGTGGATCAAGATCCCAGATGCTGCAATGCCCCTGCAAACAGATGATATATCACCCACAATGAGTATCAACGGCCGTACGGGGGTCGATGACCCACTACGCCTTGACGACCCGCGCAACGTGCCTGTCAATGCACTGCCGCCGATGACACTGACGCGCGATACGACAACTCAAAGTCAGCAAGTCGACTCGACCGAGAGCGACGATGGGAACGGCCTTTTGATGGAAGAGGTGGACCGGATCATTGAGTTCCAACCAGAATGCCAAGTCGCACCAGCTGTTTCAACACATGGAGCGCGTCGTGTCTCTATGGCCGTCAATATCGACCACGACCATAAAGTGCAACAAACGCCAGAGGCTGTGCGCTCCGCGGCCCTTTCCTCCGTGCGCCGACGGTCGATCCCACCGCTGGTTCAGCATCCCGTGGTCGTACAGCCATGGCACCTCTCGGTCCCAACCCCGACACTGGCGGCATGGCAGCAAAAAACACTGCAACCAACATACGGTCCGAGCGTGCGATACCGCGCTTGCAGCTGGACAAGCTACCAGTCCGCGCGTGGAACGACGGCAACGCCAAAACCAAGAAAAAAGCTCCTCGACGCAAGCCCAGCCTGCAGCAGATGCAGGCAGCGACGCGTATTCAAGCGTGCTTTCGAGGGTATCACTGCCGCATGGCATATCGCATCAAACGCGACAAGCTGCGGCGACGGGCCGACGCGCGGACCCGGCTGGTACGCGCCACCATCGGGGTACGGTGTCAGGTTGTACACTGTGCAGGGAGCGCTCTCGCCGTTCCTCAACGCGCGACCCGAGAGATTTCCTCGCATAAGCACGCGCACCGTCGTCCAGGGCGGACGGAAGGAAGCAGCGGCAACACACAAACAGGATTCCGAGACGAGCTTTTTGCGCACGCAGTTGACGGACCGGTATGACACTTTTACTCTGCGGCTGACTTGTAGTCGTGTCATGGACCATAGTGAGGAGGAGCTCATGGAGGAGCTCAAGTCACTCAACCAAGCGCTCGAGGCGCGGCGCAAGGCTCATGCGGCCCCACGTCTTCCGCTGCTCGGAAAGACGACTGCGTTGGGTGCAAAATGAAACTCCAACCCATGGAATGGAGACGATGCGTCCTGTGCGAGTTGGAGCAACATACACGGTGGCTTCGTTTTTCGTGTCCACAAGATGAAGACGTCAGTGCGTAAAGAGGAGATGTATGTATGTATGTATAAATATTAGATTTGTGGAGAATTAGGCATCAGACTCGGCCAGTAGCGCTGTCCAGAAAAAGTCCAAGCACGTGTCGAGGGATGGAAGGAGAGTGAGAGCGTCGTTGAGCTCGCCGACAGCGCTGAATATGTCGTCGTTGTCGTCATCTTCGCTCTTGACCGCGACGGGGGGCTGCTGCGGAGAGGACGCGGCGCTACTGTCGGCCAGAGTGTCGCTCAAGTCGCGCTGGACGAGGCTGAACATGACTTTTTTGGCTTCGTCGGGACAGGGTACTTTCCGAATGAGCTTTTGACGGTACTTTTGCGCATGCGTTTGCGTCTGGCGTGCGGTGCGCGTCCCGACGTGCAGCGCGATCGCCTTCCAAGGTCCGTGGGGAAACTGCTCGAGCGCAATAAGAAATCGTTTGTGCTCGTCGGGGGACCAGACCCCCGTGACGGTCGGCTTGGCATGCGCCTTGGGCTTGCGCATGGGGGCAGGTCCATGCGGGTTGAAGTACTTCATCTCTTGATGCGAAAAAATGAAAAGTGTGCATGGAAGATGCCAAGCACGGGATGACCGATCCATCTGACTTGCATGTTTGCTCGCGACACGCCACATGTTGTAGAATGCGCGTACTACATGTACAGAAATCCATACTGTATACAATGCGGGATCGGAGGTTACTCAGCGACCGTGGCTCTTGTTGTTGTCGATCGTGCTCGCTATCCCTTGGTACTCGTTAGTGAATTAGTGTTGAGTAAGATGAGACACATTGCGGGGGTGGGATAAAATGCCTCCGACAGGCACGGAGGAGCAAGTGAATATAGGCAGCATTGCTCGTGGTCCTTGCTTGTCCCTGTGTAGAGGCAACATCGCGTGCATCAAGCATGCAAGATAGGCGATCTTCGAGCTGGTCCTACCAGCACCCCATACCTACAGGCTTTTGTTCTTTGAGTTAGCAAACAACCAAAGGACGTGGCTACATGCTTTTGTTCTTGGAGTTAGGCAAACAACCATAGGACGAGACAACAGCTGCCATCAACGCATGGGCGCGTGAGCTGGATTTATCGTCTGACCCGGTCTGCCTCTCGACATCTCGACAGGTAAACAGAGCCATACGCTCGGTCCGGCGGCGGGCCACGAGCACTGGCCTCGTAATCGTGTCACAGTGACGTTAAAGTATATTTTCCGCACTATTGGCGGACTTCTGATCGCCACACTTCTTCGTCCGAGCGCCTTGTTCCAACCAATCGCCTTGGGAGCCAGCGAATACCGTGGGCGCTCATCGTGGAGCGGTTTCGCGAAATTCTGACGCGACCAGGTCGTTCAACATGACGCTATCACAGGTACCACAGGACGACCGCCTGTCGCGCTCGCATAATTGTGCAGCGACATGCTGCGTCCCGTTCCTCGGAGACATTAGTGTTCCATGTTGCTTTTCTCTGGCTGCATTGCAGGTCACTCGATCTTTTAGCCCTGTCCTCGTCTAAAACAAGCCTCTGTACACACGAAGGAGATGGGGCTAGAAAATTCTTCCTAGTCGAGGGCGAGATTGGCGCGATACGATCCTACATGTGATCACAGAGCGATTTCAAACAGTTCAGTGCAAACTAGACGCCCTTCAACAACTGCAAAACGATCCAAATGATGGACGCCACGACGCCTGGCTTCGCGACCGTTCCGGCTTGCGCAATTCATACAAACGCCTCGCCGCTGCCGTCAGTCGCAACACGCTCTGAGTCGAAAATCGACCTCTGAACACAGTTCAGTGTAATTTACAACCAAATATAGACTTGAACAACAACGACAGAGCGATCCGCATCGTTGCGTAAATGCGCATGCCGCCGCGACATTTGAAATAAACAAGGCAGCCTTCATTCGGCGCACATGTACACTTGCACTTTCTCCAGTTCATATTCTTGTTTCGCCATGTCAGCCGGGAGGAGAACGGTAGACCTGTCCTTGCATACTGTGTTGCGCTTTGTGAAGGTGCGGCGTGCACGACACACGACATGGCCCAACAACCATTCGCAGATGCTACGAGTCGATATAGTCGGCCGCGGCTAACTTCAACATGAGTATTGCGGGTTGCCTTCAAGGAGGAGGAGTACAGTGCACGCATATGTTCTGACCACCATTCTCGACTGTGTGGCCGGCGTTCTGTCGGATCTGGAGCCAAAATGCAAACGGGCTACTACCTCATGAGATCGTGGCCAACAAACGGAGGAGCATCGCATTTTTGCTCGTTGTAGCTCCTTTATAAGAAGCGGATCCACCACGCGACAACCAAGGCTGGCAGGTGCCAATGCCGCACGTGCGTTGGTGTTAAAATGGGCAGTCTATTAAAATCGACGTAATTCGAAGCGAAATAAAATATCGGACTTTCTGTGTTGTGTACACTGAGGTCGTGATCTAGGCAGCCGATGATGGGAGCGCGATTTGTGGGACAAGGTGCTGGTTGTTGAACTGAGTTATATTACATGCAATTATAAAGATATGGTGGACTTCCTACTGCGCTCGTGAGGCGTGGCCGGTGCGTGAGCGAGGAGCATTAGTGGTCGTGATGCGAGATTGTGCGAGGGACCAGGTAGCGTGCACACCAAGGTTCGTCGCGGAGAGCGGCCAGCGACGCGTCAAGAGATGGCACCACAGCGCGACGAGCCAAGTGCCGGATGTGCAATCGTGCGATCGTAGCTGTCCAGATCGCGAGCGCGGCAGCGGGAAGTTGCGTCAGCGTCGAGCGGAAGACACGGTTGTTGGACAAGGTGCTGGTGCAGCCACTCGGTTGGCGAGGAGCCAGAGATGTGCCGCACGCTCGTTGCAGCGCACATGCACTGTCGCTTGGAACTTGGTGCACCTTTCAAGATTTTAAACCTCCCAACCTTGCCGAGGAGACATGAGATCTGCAGCACCGGCAAGCTCATGTCTCTATCGCTCAGTGTATTACGGTAGCTGCAACGGTCGCGCGCTTGTGGCCGAAATTCAGTGATGCAGGGGATCGTAAGCTCAGTAGCTTGTCACCTATTGCACGCTGTGCATTAAAAGCGGATTTGATTCTTGGACTTGAATCTGCGCCGTCGCGAAACGGGATCGATTGATTACTACGAGACGCTAACTCTTCATCTTGCATGCAAGGATGAGCCCAGGGCAGCTGTCGTTTTTTTCAAAATACAAAGCCACTCGAGCGAACATTGTTTATTGCAAAAGAAAGAAGAGCGGAGATACTGAAGCGCTTTCGTAATGTATCACATCGAACTCGAATAAAATCGAAATGCAATTCGAGACGTACGATGGCACCGCACCTTGGACACGGAAATTTTTGTCCGATGCAATACATCCGACACGTGCTGGACGATCCCGCACGATCTTTTACACACCAAGTCCTGTCGATACAACGCCTCAAGTTGGATGACCAACGACGTCGTGAACGGCGTCCAAAATGTACCAAACCGCGTTCCACAACCTCTGGCCCGTGCTCCGCGCCTGCGTCTGGTTCAACGTCTGGCGAGTCCGGAACGATCGCGTCTTTCGCGCCGACCTACCGCTGCCAAGTCCATGAACGATTGCCGTCAAGGCAGCGCGTGTCGCTCAACTGCACTTGCACCACAGGCTCGTACAAGAGCCCGAGCAGCCTGCTCTTCGTCGGCTTCTCCAGCTCCTCGCCCAACACGAGCGGCCGCGACGTCACCTCGTCCCGCGGATCGCGCTCCTGCCTCCGCATCCCTAGATCAAGATCCTCAACCGAGTACACACAACGAAGAAATTCCGACATTTTTATTTGGCATAGTTTTATCTATTGTAATAGACGACATCACAAGACCGCTTTTTGATTGGTTGGCTTCAAGACATCTGCTTTCCCTGGCGTCGCAGTAGATTCGCTGGTATACATAGATCAAGATACGCACATCCACGCCAGGACCTGGATCCTTGGATGAAACCAAACCCACAGTCGTGGGTCTGAAAGCGGTTCTTGACAACTCGTCGACAATACCGACGAGCGTCCTCATAGAGTAGTTTATCTTACCATACGTGCCCAAGCCCAACGACGTATTAACATGGCAAATGCTGCCCCGCGCTTCTTACCCTGCCCAAGAGTTCTCGGGCACCTTCAAGTCGATTCCCGCGGCGTCCAAGCCCACGGTGCTATAAGTTGTTGGTGACGTAGAAAGACTATGTAGTTTCAACGCGTAGGCAAGTTGTCTGGATGTTTGCTGCACCGATGGCCCATGAGTGGCATCATGCCGCACGGTACCGGTAGAATGCGATTCGCACGCCTCTCATTTCAACATTATCGGACGACTATCTCCTATGTGACACCAAGTCCCACGATAGAACTATAAGCTATAAATTGTACTAGTCGATCGTTTGTTTTGCTCGTTTTTCGGTGCACCCATGAGATCCCGATCGTCGCCACGCCGCAGATGTCGCATCCGTTGCAGCAACGACCGACGACGCCACGATCCAACGGTCGCCATAGGGTATCAACATGTGTTGCCGTTGAAACCAACGGCACCGATCACCCGCACCACAGATTCCTTCGATTCCAACGCATACTACAAAGCAGACTCTGAAATCTGCCAAGCCATTTCGATACGACTACTTTGCACGCGAGGTAGCATCGTTGTCTGCGTCCTCGCCACACCCGTGGTACACAAGACTACGCTTGCGACTCCTCAGGAACCCGACCATTCAAAGTACTATTACTATATAACGTGCACGACGCTAGCCATCGATCTCTGTCTCGTGTGCAGATGCAGCGTTGAGATGCTTCTACCCGTAGGCTCCTTCCGCAGCGAATACTCACCCAAGCAACGAGTCGACGCCACCGACTTTCATTTTCCAATTTGCCTCCTTCGCCTTAACGATGCAGCTCTCCAAGTGCCTCGCTGGTCTCGCCCTTCTCGCGTCGGCCGCCGCCAAGGTCTCGCAGGTCCACGTCGGCCTCTCGTCCGAAGCCATCGGCTGCAAGGACGGCGTCACGGTGACGTTTGCGAGTGACTCGGCGGCGCCTCTCGCCATCAAGTACGGTGTTGGCAACACCGACAAGTCGGCGACGACGACCATCAACCGGTACGAGATCAAGGAAACCAAGTACTCGTACACGTCGCCCAACATCCACTCGGCCAAGCTCTGCGACCTCCAGGCCAACGCCAAGTACTCGTACACCGTCGGCGACTACTCGGGCACCTTCAAGTCGATTCCCGCGGCGTCCAAGCCCACGGTGCTCTCGGTTGTCGGTGACGTCGGCATCGAGCACATCCAAGACACGATTTCGAACCTCGGCAGCGATCTCAAGGGCACGACACCGGACGCCGTCATCATCGCTGGCGACTGGTCGTACGCCAACGGCTGCCACGAAGACTGGGACACATGGCTTGATGCGACGCAGCCGCTCTTCTCCAAGGTGCCTCTCCTCGGTATCAGCGGCAACCACGAGGTCATTGAGGGCGATGGTGTCATCTACACCCGCCCCGAGTGCAAGGCAGAAATGTTCTCGGGCTACATCAACCGCATTGTGACGCCGATCTCGGCCGAGTCCTCGAAAGACCACCGCACGTGGTACTCCAAGGACATTGGCAACATCCACGCCGTCTTCTTGGATGATTACACGGGTATCCTTGGCGCTGACAACATTGGCTCGGACTACTGGCTCACGCACCGCAACCAGCAGCTCGACTGGCTCAAGGCGGACCTCGCGAGTGTCAACCGCGAAAAGACGCCGTACCTTATCGTCTTCAAGCACAACCCGTACTACAACTCGTGGGTGCGCCACCAGTGCCAGTGCTCGCCCGTCAAGTTTGAGATCAACGATGTCGAGGCGTGCTGGAAGGGCAACTACTACATGAACTCGACGGCCACCGGCGGCAAGCTCGGCGACGTTCGCGACGAACCCCACTGCAGTCTCCAGGCCAAGTTTGAGGACCTCTACTACCAGTACGGCGTCGACGCGGTCATGGCCGGTCACGTGCACTGCTACGAACGCACGGCGCCCATTTACAAGAACAAGATCACGCAGGGTGCCCCGGTGTACATCACGGTCGGCACGGGCGGCCATGGCCTCTACCAAGGCGCGATCTCGCCGATCCCCGAATGGTCCAAGTCGATGACGGACTCGTACTACGGTCACTCGCGTGTGATTGCCGACGACGACAAGATCACGATCCACTTCCGTGCCAACGGCGAGACGACGACGCTCTTCGACTCGGTTGTGATTCCGCGCCGCGCCAAGCCCGCGTGCTAAGCCGCAATGCTGGAGCTAGGAGGGTTCTGTATTTCGTGCTCGTATCGACACTTTCATTTTTACCTCGGCTATAACGCTCCATACAAATGCAGACAATTTGTGTTCTGATTCTCTCAAGTGTCATGGAAAGTGCAGCTTCTTGAATGCCAAGCGGAGTAAACCCTAAGCCAGTAGTAGCTGCCGGCAAAAGCGGCGCTCAGAAGCGTTTGAAGCCGGCTCTGGATCCCCGCGATGGCCTCGGCGTTCTTGGCTTCGATGACGTCGATGAGCGCAGCGTGTTCTACTTTGATCATGCCGTGCTCGGCATTGAGGTCTTTGATCGACTTGGCGTTCGTCTCTTCTGTCGCTTCTATTGCCGCAGCATTATTCTCTTCCATGACTGTCATCATGGTCGATGCTGACGCGTTCGGCGTCGCCATTAGCGAGTGCATCTCGGCGAGGAGCGCACTCGACGAGTCTTTGCCATCCGCGGCACCAACGACATCGCTCATGGCGTCGTCAAAGGCAGAGCTCGCATGCGCCCGGAGCGCCTCAGTATCGCTCGCCAACGACGACTGACGCGCGAGCTTGTACACGATGATACGATTAGTACCAAGGCGATGCAAGGTCAGATCGAAGCACTACTCCACACTGTCGAGACGCTCGTGGCGGCATCTGCTGTCGCTTAATGGCGCTTGCGTCCACAGCACATGGCCGAAAAGATTATTCACACACCACAAGAATGCCCAACACGATGCTGGCATCGACTACCCAAGACGCTGCATTGATATCTCCTCGATCGATGCTACGAGTCCTAGAGTCCTCATAACCTTAGTGTATCGCTACGCATGAGCTTGGTGCGGCGAAATGGCAGTCGAGTGCCGAGTAGCGCTCATGTGCGACGAGTGCAAGCGATGCTGCGTCGCACCATGACACAGCATAGGTCAGACTCGGTTGTTGAGGCGGTAAATTACCGTAATTACCCTCTGGGTTTTGTTCCAATGTGGTCTATACACTAGCCACTCGAGCGACCGGCAGCTCTTAACTTCTACCCACTAGCCCCGTACAGTGAAACCATGGTGGAGCACAAGTTGGGAGACCCATCGATGGCACTGCATTGTTGTTGAAGTGGCACTGCATTGTTGTTGTTGAAGTGCGTCTTCTATAACAATAGATAAAACTATATATATAAACGTGTTTCGCGTTATCTTCGTTGTTACAAAGAGTTTGCATACGTAGAGACCAGGGGGGTGACAATATGGCAGCAAAATTGCTTTTTCGCAAGTCGGCCAGGCCAAACGGTGTTTTGATTGGTTTAAAATGAGAACAATTCGGACCAATGAGCGGGGGATATTCCTAGGACGAAGGGCTCCGGATGGCGACGGACGTAGCTCAGGATAGAAGAACATAGTTTTGATATAAGATCATATTCGAAATATTCTTTGCGCGTACTACCGTTTGGACGGTTTCAATCTTCGAGATGGCTATGTGTGTCCACTTCATGGAAGAAAAACGTGTCATTGGCCAATACTATTTCTTTTTGGCCAATCAGAAGTGAGAATGTTCAGAAGTGCTTCAAGACCGTACAATATTTACTCTTAAGAGACAGTACCGTATACTGTATATGAAACACGGCAGAAATTTAATTGTGTTAGTGTATGTCGCTTGTAAAATGCTGTCTGCAACTATGTAAATAATACGGATCGTGCCAACACGGAGACCTTCCACGGGCGCCACCGATGTCCACCTCGAAGCAGCAATGCGAAGCAACTCTTACGACGCGCGGCGAATCGAGACGTTGCCAGAACGCAGGAATCACTGTGAAGATGTAACTTCCTCGCAGCATCTTCGCGTGCCTCAACTGCTCAACCCGCATGAAGAAGGAGGATGCAAGTCAAGCCGCGCCTGCTCTCACCACACCCCCAGTAGACGATCCGGGTTCACGAGCTGGTGCGGCGACCATACTCAGGTCGTAAGAGCACTCGAAATCGGTCACGTCATGGAACGACGGGAACGATTGGCGCTCTACCGGCGCGTAGGCTGTCGCCGCGTCGAGCTTCTGGAAGAGCATGGCCCAGCAGCAGAGGAGGCAGACGGCGTTTGCGCGGCGCTGACCGTTCGTGCTCGAGTAGAAGATGACCTTGGCGTTGGTTTTCGCCGCGTGCGCCAAGTGCTCGGCGATGATGTCGTTGAAACGGAAGACGTGGCCAATGTTGAGCGGGCCATAGACGAGGCAGTAGTTCCAATACACGAGCTGCGTGTCGATCGAAAAGAAAATCGTGTTGTCCTTGGGCTTGGGCTGCGACGCGACGGCCACGTAGCAGAGCTTCCCGGGCAGAAAGTCGATGGCTTGGCTAAGGCTTACGACGCGATGACGCCAGAAGCCCAGCGAGTCCCCTACGCGAACGAGCGATTTGCGTCCTCGATGAATGTCGAGAGCACGTTCTCCTTACTCTATGCGATCCAAAAGCGTGAAGGTCGCGGCTCAGTCGGGAAGCAAAGAGTTGACGATGTAGTTTTCGCCATGAAGAAGGTCCTCCTCGTGCAACTCGAGGACTGCTGGACCAAACGAAAGAAGGACCACAACTACGACGAGCAAACGTACTACACGAGTATCAAGGAGCTGTACCAGTGGGATCACCCCAACGTGGCAAGACCAGCGAAGCGGGGAAGAGCCACGACAGAGTCCAAGTCGGAGAATCTCGTCCGCGATGACCCGCAGGCGCGCGCCAACCCTCCTATACGACATTCTTTAGGGATATGACGAGCATCAAGCGACCCAAGGGCGTGGGCGAGGACCAAACATCGTGATATCTATGGACATTGTCATTGATTTATTAATAACGCGCGGTTCACCACCGTGTCTGCAGCGTCAACTGCACGAGGGTTGTTCCATGGAGTGGGCAAAAATCAGGGAAGGTGCGGCAATAATTTTGCATAATGGAGGTAATTTCGAGATTTGAACCCGCATCGGGGGACCATGACAGTATACGAATGCACAAGCCCGACGAGGCCACAGGTTCGCAGTTCATTCCAAAGCGAATGCGATGTATCAATCACTGCATTCACACCATACGAATCTCCAAAACCTTATATTTATTTATGGAGGTACCGAGACATGATACGCAAATTTCACCGGATTGTCATCCCCCTGCGTAGAGACTAGCAATCTCCTTCTTCTTCATTCGCTCGCCGGGCCGTGGCTGCGCAGGCGGCGGCGCGGGGGCGCATCTTGTTCTTCAGATAAAACTATGCTAAATAAAATTGTCGGACTTTCTTCGTTGTGTTCACTCGATTGAGGAACTTGATTTAGGCAGGCGGAGGCAGGAGCGCGACTCGCGGGACAAGGTGCTACTCTGGGTGCTACTGTGGTCACACGTCTTGGGCGAGGAGCCGGAGAAGCCGACGAAGAGCAGGCTCCTCGGGCTATGGCACTGCATAGTTCATGTCACGTCTATTCCCTTGGTTCCTGTGAACGAACGGCTAAACGGCTCGTTCAGGGCAACCACAGGCCAGACGACATAAAATTGCGTGACACGGACCTCGTTGCCATTCCTAGAGTTCCACTCGATATTCTCTGTGCCGTGTTTCTGCACGTTAAAGAAGAGCTCCTCGATCCGAAACATCGTGTGGCAGACTAATCAAATAGTGGCACGCGGTACGGTGAAGACACCTTTTTAAAACCATGTACTACGTGGTAAAATAACCCGGCGTAGGATACATCGATCATACTTGAGTTACGCCGGCATGGGTGAATCTGAGCACGGTCTTGGTGCGATTCCTGCACGGAGATTCAAGGCCTTGTATGGTGCGGTGACATACAAGCACCACACATCTCGTTTGCACCCAGATCTATATCGCGCACTTTTCAGAGCCCCAGTCAATGCCAGCACATCTGGTACTTGTTTTTTCTGGTGGAAGATTCGATTGCAGACGTTTGAAAATCTGGTGTGGTCCACACGCGAATCTTGCCGTTTCATGCAACATCTGTCCCACGTCTGGTTTCGGAACAGATGCCATGCGACATGGAGGTCCCCAGCCGCACGACGGACGACCGACAGGCGCCAAAACCCTCGCGACGGAGCTGCTCACTTTTCAACTTGCTCGACATCGCGCACCATGCAGCTTCTTCTCAGCCTCGCTGGCCTCGCTCTCGTTGGCGCCGCCAAGGTCTCGCAGGTCCACGTCGGTCTCTCGTCCGAAGCCGTCGACTGCAAGGACGGCGTGTCGGTGGCCTTTGCCAGTGACGCGTCGACGCCGTTGACGGTCAAGTACGGCGTTGGCAACACCGACAAGTCGGCGGCGACGGACGTCCACACGTACAAGATCGAGGGCAGCAAGTACAAGTACAACTCGCCCAACCTCCACACGGCGATGCTCTGCAACTTGGCGCCGGACGCCACGTACAACTACACGGTCGAGGCCTTCTCGGGCACCTTCAAGTCGATTCCGGCGGCCACGAAGAAGACCGTTCTCTCGGTCGTCGGTGACGTGGGCATTGAGGAGATTCAAGCCACGATGGCCAACATGGCGAGCGACCTCAAGGGCACCAAGCCGGACGCTGTCATCGTTGCCGGTGACTGGTCGTACGCCAACGGCTGCCACGAAGACTGGGACAAGTGGCTCGAGGAGACGCAGCCGCTCTTCTCCAAGGTGCCGCTCCTTGGTATCACGGGCAACCACGAGGTCATCCAGGGAGACGGCGTCAACTACGATCACCCGGAGTGCGACTCGGAGTACTTCTCGGCGTACATTAACCGCATCGTGACGCCGATCTCGGCCGACGCCTCAAAAGACCACCGCACGTGGTACTCGAAGAACATTGGTAGCATCCACGCCGTCTTTCTCGACGACTACACGGGTGTCCTTGGCA